TGAAGGAACACTACGACATTCAAGCTGAGCATGGAGGATACCAACCAGGGAAGTTGGTGTGGCTATATAACCCGCAGAGACGTCGTGGGTTATCTCCGAAGCTACAATCCTCGTGGGAAGGGCCATACGAAGTCATGGATAGAATTAATGACGTCGTATACCGTATCAGAAAATTGCCAAAAGGAAAACCGAGGGTAGTCCATTTCAACCGTTTGAGCCCCTACCAAGGCGAAATAGAAGATCGTGCTGGGACCGTGAGAACCTGCAGCTTTGATCCCCCTGATTCGGAGATGTCCTTTGACGATTTCATGGCCCGATACAACAGCAGTGAGAAGGCTCGCTATGGTGTAACCAAAGAAGATCAACGAGACCTCTTTTCCGTGCCTCCTGATTATTCGCTCGCTCATTGTGTGGCTCGAGATTTGCGGATGTCCAGAGGAATCGCTGCGACGTTCAATGAGAAGTTTGGGCGTGTCGGAGAACTACGCCGACAGGATCCAGAGGTTGGAAGCGTCTTGAGGCTAACCGACAATGCACATGGTCAAGCAAGGCACATCTTCTACCTGGTCACCAAGGAATGGTCCCCGAGTAAGCCGACTTATCTCAATCTATGGAAGACCCTGATTGAACTGAGAGAAGCCCTGCTAAACAACAACATTGCACGATTAGCCATTCCGAAGCTGGCGTGTGGACTCGATGGTTTGAGTTGGCGTACAATCCGGAACATGATTGAAGTCTTGTTCAGATTTACGGGAATCGAGATCCTCGTTTGCTGCTACAACCCAAAGCTGAGATCGGGAGAGAAAACTGTAGACTGCTATTTCTACCAGACTTCGCAATGTACTAGGGGCCAGCTTTGCAAATACCTTCATTCACCGTATATATCTCGGGACGAGCATGTGCCTAAGAAGGGGGCAGTGTTGCGAGCCAGCCAAGATCCCAGCCGTTGGCCGTCGTGGCCGCCTGACTTAGTGCCCATGGATCTAATCCTATGAATATATTTGCGGAAGAATAAAGGTTCCTTATTCTTCCGTATAATCTAGACAACCATTAGAAATACTTAGCAGTTATAAGAGGGTATCTTTCACCCCCACTGAGTTGATGAATTCCGCGAGAAATGTTCAAAAACTGCCCCGTCTGTCCATAACAGAAGACGGTCGATATGTCGAACACCTTGTAGCAAAATCTCATGTCTTGGTTTGCTGTTTATTTTTATTGTTATTAGATATAGTTTAAATGTTGGTTAAATATATTTTAAATTGTTATAAAATTCTGCATCTCTCATAGCAAATATTATTTTCGTTTTAATTGATGCTCACAGCTAGAATTTTTTTGCAGTACAGCCGGTGCCGTTCAAAGCCTACTTATTTAAAGCGGGCGAATTTTTATATACTCTATATCTCGAAGAGGAATCGAGCAAAATATCAAGTGTGTTATATTTTATACTTCATAAATTAAAAATATATAGGGTGTCCCACATAAAAAATCAAATTTTCTGTTGATAATTCTTAAATTATTAATTTTAAAAAAATTATACTTAAACCATTAAATTCTACGTAAAAATGTGCTTTGGAAATTATTTCATAAAAATACAAAAATTTCCATAGCAAAAAAGTTACAGCGATTTGTTAAAAATGCATATTTTTGAAAAACACCCCGTAACTCCGAAACGGTAACAGATATCGATATGCGGTTTTCACCATCATGTTTTTGACAAAAATTGAGCTCCAGACACCGATATTAGTTTTTGTCTATCTCCTATAGAAAAGGGTGTTTCCATTTAAAAGCGTCGAATTTGGCCCACACTGTACTCCGTCCAAGACATCTTCAGCATCTGAGAAAATCCACATTTCAAAGGATCCGATCTTCCCCATTGTAGTCACTTTCAGGGTCCAGAATTCCATTCCATATAAGAGAAAAGAATATAAATTTAGCACTTGACCATACGATATCGGGTGTTCAATGTTAGGTCTTTGTTACAAATGAATGGTTTTATAAGTTGAGGGATGTGCTACGAGCCTACTCTATCCTGGCTTTAACCTCTGCATCCTGATCCAAATCCTCAGTGATCCAAAATCCCAGACAGAGCTTCAACTTCACAGAAAACTTAAGTTTTTTATTTGACTTAAGACTTAAAATTTAAGTCATTCTCAAAATGACTTGTGTTTTAAGTCTTTATTCCGAAATAGAAAAAGATTTAAGTCATTAAAAAAGATTTAAGTCTTTTTAGAAAAGATTTAAGTCATTAAAAAAGATTTAAAACTTTTTAATGACTTAAGACTTGTTTACAAAAGACTTAAATCTTTTAAAAGATTTAAGTCTTTTATGAGATTTAAGTCTTTTTAGAAAAGATTAAAGTCTTTTTTTTTCATATATTTTTATCGTAAATTTTTAATAGCGGCATCAAATATGTTTTTACCATCTTTAGTTTCATAAAAAAGTAGCAACTGTGAAAACCGTATCTTTGTACCGCTGCTCATAAACGAGAAACCCTGTAAAATACACAAAAATGGGACAACCTGTACAAAGCACCACAAAATTTAATTTTATTTAAGTTGTTGATGTTTGCATATGTGTTATATTGTTTATTATAGTTGTTTATATAATATTTTATTCTAATCTGTATCTACAATAAATTAATATAGATAATAAAAAAATCGGTAATGGGTAACACAATAAAATTAATATTAACATTTAAAAAATAGGTATTTAAATCGAATTCTGGTTGTCTTGACTTGGAGAGAAATTATATTGATTTAAGTAATTTTACTGACTTAACTTGCAGATTACCATGATTTAAGTAAAAAAAGACTTAAATAATGTTATATTGATTTAAGTCTTTACAAAAATGACTTGACTTGAAAGAAAATGACTTAAGTCAAAAACTTAAAACTTAAGTCATTTAAACTTTTATATAGAAATTGAATTAAGACTTATGGACAAAGTCTTTTTAAAACTGACTTGTTGCAGCTCTGATCCCAGATACCTGAATTTGACTACTTGTTCTATGTGATTGTTGTCTAGTTTTATGTTTGATGGCTGAAGTCCTTTTTTAGAAACAACCATGACTTTGGTTTTACGGGCATTGATGTTCAGTCCGTATTCGTTCCCAGCTACTGTAACTATTCAACAGCTCTTGTAAGGAAACTTGTAAGAATCTTATAAGAAATCGCTTAAATAATACACCGCAGTCGCATTGATTAAACAATACAAGCAGCCGCATTGATTAAAGCAAAATAATTTGAAAACAGTCCACGCAAATATACTCCTACACATATAAAGTTTTCACTCATCTCCAATAGATATGCCTGCAGGTATGACACTTAATGAAAACCGTTTACTTATACTTGTTTATAAATATCAATAAAAAAGAACGTAAAGGGTGAGATTGTATGTGTTTATTTTCAAAAAACCTACAAATCATAATACACTAATATAATAATTTAATTATTACAATGTACATTCACAAAGTTTAATAAGTAGCAGAAAGATAAATAAATTGTCAATCCCAAATTGTTTCAAAGATTTTAAAATTTATTTAACTCTACACTGCAACACAATGATTTAACAAATATATACGATAATGATTCGGTTTTTACATTACATTCAGTTATTTAACTCTCGGCTCCAACCACTCAGTTCTCACAATGCCGCTCTGAGTTATATTTTGAAAATACAATATGCCATGCTAAACGTTACGCTAGTAATTTAACACATTAGTAATGTGGAATATAGCTTATTGTATTAAAAAAATAATATTCCTCTTCTGGAAATGTTTCACTGCACGATTCTTCTGATATATTACAAAATCGTTGTTAAATTTGTGTTGGTAGTTTGATAAATGTAACAGTGGATTTTCAAGTTATCACAGAAATATTGATTAGTATCACTATTCTATACAGGGTATGTTAGAAATTGTTGACAAAGGATAGGTAGTTTCCAAATCTAAAAATAGTTTTGCATAATATTCAACTGTAAAAATAAACAATCCGCATTTTTCTAAATTGATCTACTAAGGGCTGGCAAAGGTTAGTCTTGGGTCGAGATTTCCGTATGTATGAAGAGTACAATGCGTTTATAATGTACTGAACAAAGAGAGGACAGTAAACACGTTGCCAAACGTATGAAATAAACCGAGAAACTGTGCACATCGCTAAGAGACGTGGAAGGGGATATAGAAGATTTGTCGCAGTTGACCGGTCGACCCAGTCAATACCTCTGTCAGTACTTAAAGTTCTAGGGAAAGGTGTACGTCAAGCGTTCAGCTTCACGATTTAATTACGTCTCGTGATACTTAATTTGTTTATTTATTAACGTTTAAGTCGTTGTAATTTTCCCTATAGCTTGAATTTTTTTTAAGTACAAGCTAGAAACACTTGCATTTTTGGTAAAAATAAGCGGAATTGAGTGGGTGTTCGATAGTGGTCGCGCTATTAGAACTCTGAATTCAAAAATCGATATCTCGAAATCTATTAGAAATAATAGATTGTAGTTTTTACAAGAACTTTGTTAATATTTCTGCTGTATTTTCTTTGTAGACAGTATGTGAAAATCTTTATCAATAAAAAAATTACACGATTGCTGAAAATTGCTATGCTCTAAATGTAAATGGATGGATTGTTTACAATTTTTGAATGGAAAAAACAACCTTATCGAATTTTTCTTATGTAAACATATTGTAAAATATCCGATCTTGAAAATAAAAAAAGTTACAATATCTAAAGTGGTTCTTCAGTTATGGCCTGTTATGTGTTAAAAAGTTGAGTTTTTAAATTATCGCGATTACTGACGTTTTCTCGTTATAAAAAAAAGACACCTTAACGATATCCTTATAATTCCATTTCAGATGCTCAAAAACATGTCTAATGATTTTATCTAGTTATCTCTTGAAAAAAAAGTCTTTTAAAAATAAGCGGTTTGCGATCGTGATTTTACTTTACTTGATAGGGAAAGACGTACCGGCAACGCCGCAACTGCACATGCACCGTCGCATTTCTCTCACTCCGACTTAAAAAGATCCCTATGCGATTTACTTCCACACATGTAAATGCCGACCCAAAAGTGACAGTTGCCAGCACGGTATACGTATAATATAAACAAGTAAACATCAGAAAAAATATAATCCCTACTATGAATACTAAAGTATTGTCTGAAATTTCAACTCAAAGATTGACACTTCTAGCATAAACCAACTAAATTAAGGTAAGTCTAGATGTTATTAAAAAAATATCGAAAATAAATCAGAATCTGTTAATACTTTATCTAATTTAGTTTGCATTAAAAAATACTTGTATGTTTTATGTAAAAAGCTACCCTGTATATAATTTTAAAAGTGTAAGTTGGTTAGGTTACATATTATTAACCTTATGATGCGAATAAACTAATTAAGTTTTTATTACGAATTACACCAACCCACAATACCCTACATGAAAACCTGCATTCCATAGAGACTGCAGATATATACTCAATCTGAATTATAGTCATGACATATTCCACCAAATAAATATATACTTAAAATGATACTGGAAACCATAAAATGAAGTAGTCAAAAAATAATTATATATACATATATATAAAAAACTTGATACAAGATTTTTAGCATTTCAATTATCTAGTTCCAACCATATAAAATAAAAATAGATGAACAACATTTATAACTCAACTCAAATTATGTTTGATAAATCCAAATAAATTCATAATATAAAAAATAAGGTAATTAATAAAAACCTTCTGATGTAGATAATTTGTAAGTTTTGGGGTTAGTTGCCCATTTACTTAAATATTTTATATGGCAATACGTGTACAAATGTTTAAGTTGACGGATTCTGAGCTTTGGCCTTCCTGTGATCATAATTTACTAACCTTTGACCAACTAAATATTTATCATTCTTAATATGTTCATACAATTTCTTGAATTGTCTTATTTGTAATACTATTATTACACTCAGAGCAGCTACCAATAATAAGAAGGGATATAACCTTCTGGCAATGAGATTTCTTAATTGTAAGTTAGTTACAAACATTGGTATGATAGAATAAGCAATGACATATGGTACAGCCAGAGCAAATCCAAACGAAACGATAACCGGAAGAGCGAGTTCTTTAAAAATAAATCCGAGATTCATATCGCGAATACCCTCCCTATATGCCCTTTCGATCGCCGCCCTTAAGAACCAATCAGGCCCCATCATAGTAATAGCGCACGCTATTTTAGTGTACAATACGCCAAGAGCCCAATCCTGCCATATAAAAAGTATAGGAGTTTGATGAATGGGTACACGCAAAGGTATAATAACGACAAGTTCAAGAAGAAGCCCGAATAACAGTGGAATTACGCCGAGTAAAAGTGTACTAGCGACTATAGTCTTCATTCCTAACATGCACCACTGTTTCAGCCGTTCCATCATGGCAACTCTGCCTTGCGGCAGCCAGCTTAAGATCAAAGTTACCGCTCTAGCTGCCAACCAGCACAAATACAGGCCACAGGCTGCCGTATATAGTTCGTGGACCTTTACTTCTGTTTTAGCTTCGGTAGCGGAAATCTGTGGACCTGGAGGTGGGGCTCCTACCAACCATAAAGCCATCACTCTTCTACCCAACCATACAGGTACGGTAAGAGCAACGACCGAAAAACAGACAAGTGACAAACATACCATCACTAAAAGGGAAAATAGACGAGCCAAAAAGAATTTTGGGCGTTGGTAGGGTTGATATCCTGAAAAGAAAAAATAACTATAAATATGACTAAATAATCAACTAAATCTTTACTAGTGATGGGAAATAACCGACATCGCTCGATTATGAACGTGCGATGCAATTGACGAGTTACAAACGACGAACGCAAGCGATCCTAGAATGAAATAAATTGAAATCCGATATTAATGTGACATACTCGATAAAAAGCCGAGCGAATTTTCTACATACATTGCGGGTAGCAAAATTATTCGATGCCGTATATATATATTTATCCGTTGCGTATCTGAGGGACAAAATTTTACGACCTACATCGACAATGCTTTGAAATAAACTAAACCAAGCGATCTAGCGAATCGCTCGTCGCTTGCTACTTGCCATTCATCACCGAAAGATGCCCTGCGCACGCAACTTACTGCTTGGCGCTTGGCGTTAACGAGTACTTACAATAAGCGACGGACGAAAAACCGTATTTTTAAATATGAGCGATATTTCGCTCGAGCGATTGCTCGGCAATCGCTTGAAACTCGAGTATTCGATTATTGAAATTAATCGGTTTTTCCCAGCACTAATCTTTACTAAATAATAATTTAAAAACTATCTGTTCATAAGACAGCCTATACAGAAAGACTATGGTTTAAAGAATCGACGTTCTATAGCAATATCATAGTGTGTCAAGTATTAAACTTCTTTTATTAGTGTATTTTTACTGGGTGTAGAATGTGTGGTGTTTTCATTCGGTATGGAAAAAAGGATGTGACGAAAAATTGCCAAAAAAAAAAAAGGATGAGAGAGGTAGCTTAACGTTATAACCAGCTGGTAGACAGACACGAAGAAATGTGATTTAGACAGAAGACAAGGCATTAGGTAGGATACATTCGCATCCTCACTCAATGTCTTTAACCGACAGCAGCCATCTGTTCCATTACTAAATAGGCTCAAATGAGCAGAAAGAAATACTACCAGAATTCCATCTGGGCAACGAAGATAACGATATGCTGGCTATTTTCCTGTATGTTAACAGTAAAATATTAAAGATAATTTGTGCCAGACTCTTTAGCCCCCCATACATCAGAAGATTTTGTCTGAGAATTTTGACTGCGGACTTGGCATGAGGACAAAAACTTTGCGTGTGTGGGGCGGACCAACTCCATACATTACTAGCCTCTACAGATGCATGAGCAATACATCTATTTATATTATGGCGCATTCTCACGACTCGTGTACTTGACAAACATATGTAATTGGTATACAGGGTATACACGGTGCGTCGACATATATACAGATTTTCTAAGTTATTTATTACAGGGGCTGCACCGCACCACCGCCAGACCCTGTATGCCAATAAAAAATACTTAGTCAGGCCAAGTACACAAGTCGTGACACTGCGCCTTTAGACTGTATTAAAATAGCCTCTTTTTTCGTTTTTTTTTACATATAACATAAATAAACATAAGTAAAAAATTAAAAACAAATAAAAAATAACCATACACAGAATGTTTGGTGCTTTTTGGTTTTACCTCATTAAGTAATAATTATTGTTATCAAGCAGTAATAATTGTTAATTTTGAAGTTTAACTTGATATATAATTTATTTTAACAGAACGTTTTTAGAGACGAATCTGTCAAATAGTCATAGCTGTATTTAGATATTTTAAATAGTTTTTTTTTTATTTGTTCTTTGTGTTTTTTGCTTCCGATGACGAGAAGAGATACTCCCGAAATGTTAAGCATTTTTTGTCTATTAGGCAAATTTGTTTATTAGTAGAATGTAGAATGTAGAATGTTTAGGAGGGGAGTTAATCACCGCGACCTTATAGATCTATTGTGTGTTGCCCTTTCTTGAGTTATAACTCATCATACAGTCTCAGGGCTTTAAGAAAAGCCAGTATCTGAGACCGCTCCACAGAGGCCAGCTCTCCTCGACATCAGACGTACCAAGGTTCATGGCACGAATGGACGTCGTCTCGGCGCACTCAGTGATAAGGTGTTCTGGTGTTTCCCCATTTTCCCCACAAAATCTGCATTCGCCGTTGTTTCTCAGTTTCAGCCTACTGAGGTGTTCGTTGAGGAGACAGCGTCCTGTTAGAAACCCCGTGACAATCCGAAGATTGTTTTTACTTAAATCAAGGAAAACCTTTGATTTTTCTCGGTCATAAGTTCTAAGGAACTTTTTCGAGTGTCTTAGACCGTTGGAGGACACCCATTCCAAGTTACGGATGGAGTCTTCCAGATTCTTCAGTTCCGCTTTCAGTTGGTTCCCGTTTGGAAAACAGAACGGTTCTGGTCCAGTTAGTTGAGTGTTCGCTCCTTTTCTAGCTAGATCATTTGCTTTTTCATTGCCTTCTATCCCTTGGTGAGCAGGCACCCAGAGTAGGAGGACTTTATTTTCTTTGCCTAATTTGTTGAGCTTCTCTAGGCATTCTTTGACCAACTTCGAATTGATGGTTACTGAGTTGATCGCGTTAAGTGCTGCTTGACTATCGGATAGGATGGCAATTTCCTGTTTTCGATAGTTCCTATCTAAGATAAATTGTACGCATCTTTCGATAGCGCAAATTTCTGCCTGAAGGATACTGGGGTAGGTGCCCATTGGTTCGGAGTATTCAGTTTTCGGCCCAAATACTGTTTATTAGTAAATCACTGCCAAAGTCACTGCTGACAGGTTGGTCTCCAGGGCAAGTGGCGAAATACCCATAGGACTTTTTTAAAAAAACGTTAATATTGTTCCCTAAAACGGCTGTGTAACGGATCATATTTAGACGCTTTCGCATTTAAACATTTAATTTAGAATAAAATGATTCCCGAAAAACATAAAAGTCCCTTTCGGTATTTTCTAGATCCTTTAATGTTCCGTCGAGAAATTTTTATTACAAGCTGCAGATTAGGATTCAATACTTCAAGCCTTAGAGTAAATACCCAAACACATATAATAGAACAAATAAAAACTTTAAAATTTCACCTTTTTAAATTAATGTTTTCTTTTAAATAAAGACAAATAAAAAAACAAAGAGAATTTCACGCTACGAAATTGCATAAGGAACTTTTGATTTCCAACCTTAGTCTAAGTTTCCAGCTGTTGGTGCTATTCAACAAAAAATAATATACTTCCACAATTAAAACAAACAAAATAGAATCCATTTTTTTTCTGTTCAGAAAGAACTAAACCATGTGAGCATAGATATGTTGTGTATAATCTTATAACATGATTTTTTAAAACTTAAAAATGTATAAAAACTATTTAAAAAAAATTACCTGTAGGAGGCTCCATCATAAACAAAGCCTGATGTACAGCGCCCAAATTGCCACCATCATTTCCTGGAACATTTTCCTGTCTTTCACCATTCTGCTCCGCATTTCGTTCAGGATATGTCTGCTCTCCAAGTAAATATGAATGTAAATTCAAAACCCAGGCCATTATCTTACACCACCATCTTACAAACGCCTTCAACCAAACCCTTGTGTGTGACTGTTCTAGCAATGCTGGCAAAATGACTTGTAACAGCAACAATTCTAAACTGAGTTCATTAACTTGGCTTTCATTATTCAGAGAAACTGTATATGGCAAAAATGAGGGTAATATAAGTTTAATAATCCTAATAGGCAACCACAACATCAAAAGTACGGCGCTTCCGAAAATGACAGCAGATATAATCAGTTTTCTAATGTGTTGCAGAATAGGTAAATGAATCATTTCTTGAATGGGACTAAAATCTGGATCGTTAAAATTCCTAAGGAACCAAAGAACACCTGGCCTTACAATTTCCCTCAGTAACAAAATAAATGAAGCAAAATAATACACATACACCATACCAATTAACCAATGCAAGAAAATTGAAGTTCCTGGTGCTGTTCTAAAACTCTGCTCCCTGTCTTTAATTGTAGCTTCAAACATATTTAATGAGCATATATCTAACCACCAACCACAAACCAGTGGGATTATACCTATTTCAATAACAGACAGCATTGAGACTTTTACTACTACATAACACAATCCCAGTACTCTCTTTGCTCTGAAAAGCCCTAACCAAGCACTAAATCTGTGAAGAATTAAGAAACAAAGTCCTACAGTATTGTATCCTACTAAGGTAGTCAACAACCCTTCAAAATGACTCTCAGATGCGTATTCTTGAAGACTGAACAAATTTAAAGTCATTACACCCATATGGTAAGGGGCATATGCAAAAATAATTATGAAAAGGGTATTTAGGCTGATCACCCAAAAAACATGTTCTAAGAACATCAATGAACCATCAAGGCCCAAAAGACGTTCCCAAGTAATTTCTTCAGCAGCTCTATCCCATTCCATAGGAATCCAGTTATTATCCTCGCCAGCATTTCCTTCCTGTTCAGGCTGGTCTTGGTTTTCTTGAGCAACCTCACCTAAAATAATATTCTGGTCAATATTCTCAACATTCTGGCATAATATACAAACCTTCTTCAGGTGGTTGTGCACCATTTTCATCCTCAATTTCATTCATTTCCTCAGGAATATTATGCAACACTCTTGGAGGATTTTCCCCCACCGGAACCATTTCATCTCTTTGGAGCCATTCAGGTCCTAAATAATAAGTTATTTCAAGTATCCCTTAAGTTAATCTCTTCTAATTATAAAATATGTTTTCATCAAATTAAATAAAAAAATGCTAAATATTCAATTTTACAGAAAATTTGTTTATCTGCTGGCTACAGATCAAGCAAATATCTCCTTTTAACCATTAAAATATAGCCAATACATTAGCCATATTTATTAAAAAATAGTTTAAAAAATTTCCAACTTATAAATATATAATGTTAAATATACACTACTGTACTGTATACATTATCTAAATATTTGAAATAAATTAAGGGGTGTCATGTAAACTTAATTGAAAAATACTTACTACACTTGCCAATAAATTGAAATGTATTTAAAAATAGAAAGTGTTCCAGAAAGAGAAACCTAATTAATATACAGGGTTGTTCACCACTAGGGAATGCAATCCCGCACCAAAATATCAATCCCGCAAACCCGCGGGATTAAATCAATCAATCCCGCGGAACCGCAAATTTGCGGGACTGTAAACAATAGTCATACATTTGGTCCTAAATGGTACAAACGGCATTGTACATTTTGCATAGGCCCACAATATATTGATATAGCGTGTATCTTAAACTAGCTGTACAGAAATTTGGACACCGATTTATACAGGGTGTTCAAAAAATATATTTAATATTAAATAAACTTAAATTTTATTATAACTTATCTACTTATTTTATAAATAAAAATATTATTCTGATTGAAGTTTTTTTTTAACTTGTGTTAGTTATCTGCTTTTAGATATACTCTATATCAATAATTTTTTGGCATATGCAGAATGTACAAAGCTTTTAGTACCATTTAGGGCCATACGTATGACTAAAAATGCATATTTTTCGAAAAAACGTCGTATTTTCCTTAAACCAAAAAAAAAATAAAAAACCAATCAAATTGTTTTTTCTAATTTCAATACAGATTCATCGTACTTGGTAAAAATTATAAAAATTATAAAACACCCTGTATACGAGAATTCGCTAAATATATTTTCGAAAACCACATCAGCATCTTAATCACAATAGATTCATCTAAAACCTGGTCCAAACCGCATCCCAAAATCTTTTTTAGTTCAAGAGATCTTTAAATTTACCTTTTACTTTTAAGAGAGAACTTTAAATTTACCCTAAAATTTTGCTTGTCCCAATAATTATGTCCGGCCATTTATTTGACGAAATTGTCCACAAGTACTAGTTAAACGCTTTTCTTCACTTACGCACATACGCCAGAAAGAAATCTAACAACTAGCCTGTTTGTTTCAGTTATTTTTAATGGTCAAGTCGTAAGAGGAATCCACCGAGTTCCAGCGTCGACGCATCGGCCCGGAACGAAGCGGTTTGATCTTAATCGAGATCGATTCGGTTAAATGTGTTGATCGCGCGGATCCCGCCCGGTAAATCCCGCAACTTCGATCCCGCGGATTCTCAGAGGGATCCCGCATTTGCGGGATCCAACATTTGCGGGATTGCATTCCCTATTCACCACATACGACACGGAGTATTGTAGCTAAACGATTAGATTTTTACAAATTGTAAGTTTTGGGTTCGTTGAAGGATTATTAGAGCTACAATTTAAAAATATTTTTACAAGACATAGAGTGTCCCAAATAAATAAAAAATATCAAAGTTGTATTTTTTAAATGGAACATCCCCTATTACATTTTTAGTTTCTACAATTAAAATAAAGGTAAATTTGATTAAGGTTTATTGCACTTAAACCTTACCGTTTTTGAAATATTTTCAATTTTGTGAAATTGCAGCAAAAATTTTAAAGCTTCATTTCTCCAAGGGTATCAAAGTTTTTAATACTAAATATTTACTGAAGTTTATTTATTGGTCACTTATTGTGTTGCAATAATAAAAATTATACTACCTTATACAGAGTGTTTAAAAATTTATTTTAGATAATTACTAGCTTTAAACGACAATAACTTGTTTAATTTAAATAGAACACCCTATATATTTTATGAGAATCAGAGGCACAATTTAATTGTCTATCAAACTGTATCATACCATTTCTTACCTTCTCTTCAAGTTTCCGTAGAAAATGAATTTTCTTCTAATTTAGAAAACTTTGATACCCTTGAAGAAATGAAGCCTTAAAATTTTTACCGCAACTTTACAAAATTGAAAATATTTCAAAAACGGTAAGGTTTAAGTGTAATAAACCTTAATCAAATTTACCTTTATCTTAATCGAAGAAACTAAAAATGTAATAATATACAGGGTGTTCCATTTAAAAAAATACAACTTTGATATTTTTTATTTATTTGGGACACTCTGTATCTTTTAAAAATAATTTTAAATTGTAGCTCTAATAGTCCTTCAAAGAACCCAAAACTTAGCATTTGTAAAAATCTAATCATTTAGCTACAATACTCCGTGTGGTATGTGGTGAACAACCCTGTATAATAAATAGTCAACAATTAACTGTTTGCCATAGCGGACTATGTGGCTTGGTCCACTTTAGCATTAAACAAAATCCTAATTAGTAGGATAGTCCGACATACATATTCTACTGCTTTCAGGTTTACTAATTTGTTTTATTTTATTTTATTCCTAACAATATAATATCGATTCTCTGGAAAGTTATGGACCGTTAGGCCTTGGGGTCCATAGTCTGCAGACTGAAGAAGTAACTGTGTTTGTTTGGGATGAGTCTGTGGCATCGAGAGGATCGCGGGAAGTGGGGTCCTGTCTCCTTTACTACATAAAATTTTTTGTAAAAACTAAAAAAGTTATTATGTATTCAGACGGTTGTGGTGGACAGAACCGCAATATAAAAATGGCTCTGCTTTGCACTCATGTGGTACAGTCTGAAGAATTTTCTGTTGACGAGATTTTAAAAAAAATTATTACAAACACAATTTTTTAGTCAGCGGTCATTCTTTTATGTCCTGTCACAGAGACTTCGGTCTAATTGAAAAAAATAAGAAGTTTCACACTAATATTTACATTCTAGAATTATTCCAACAACTGCAAAAGGTCTTTTTTAGCAGTGGTCACACTGTTTCCGTTTGGATACAAAATTGGCGGGGGTTCATTAAGCTGATCACCTAAAGTATTCCTTTTCTGAATATTAACTGTTTGATATTGGTAGATATCGGTAACGCCGTACTTGAAATGTATAAGAAAAGAGTCTTCTTTCTTTACTAAAATGCTGTGCATTTTTAACCATTCCACTTTCAAAGAATCTATAGATATTTTTCTGTTAGTAATGGTTCATTCTAACATACTGGTTGAAAAAAAGTGTTCTATCTTCATAACAACAACTTGGAATGGTTTTTTCTTTCTTGCAGTTAAAATAACGTTAATCCAATAATCTACCACGCCTTTTATAATAATCTTAAGTGTCCCAATACCCTAAATAACGATGTACTGGTTAGAGAAACCGATTACGATTAGTTTTTGTGTTTTATAATATAATAAAAAATGTTTGGTGTATTTTACATTTTATTTGGTCCACTTCATTTGACAAAAATCAAGTTTTCTTAAAAAACTAAAGCGGACTATCCCACACTAAATTTTAAAAATCTAGAAAATGTATAGCTTTTTTGTTTGATTTATACTAAAAAACCTAATAGTAATCATTTATTAAATATTTGAAAATACTAGTACTAATTCGTCTTTGGAAAAAAAACGTTACAAATATAAATATAATAGTTAATAATATAAAAAATTACAATTATCTTCATACAAAGTGTATTGGGGATGGTCCGCTTTGGTTCTCAACACTTCATATTATACCGCGCTGGCAAAAAAACATTAGCAATAGGAGGTTTTCAATGCGATAAAAAAAGATGTTAAGGCTGCAAAATATACTGCAGTGCAACAGAGATGGATAAAGAGTCTTTTCCCTACCATCGTTTAGGGGAAGTGATACGACGAGCGAGCCTCTGCGAGAGGGGGCGGGGCTTTAAGACGTTTGTGTGGGGACTACTAGTAATAGAATAGAATAGAAAATAGAATCAGTATTCAGTATCAGTCAGATGTCGGTGATTATTAACCGTGATTATTAACCGCATTTTTCAGTTAATAATATGTTTTACGATCATGTTACTCCCTGTTGTATTTAATGCAACAGTGCTTTAAACTTAGTTGAATTTTTATCATCCTTAAGCCTAAAATTGAAATTAAAAACAAGTATTCTAAAAAAAGTAAACTCAAACATTTTTAAAAATAAATAAAAAGGATTTCTTATAATAAATAAACTATAAACAAAATTAAAAATAACTATGAACAAAATTTATTTAAACAAATGTTCGAAAACATTTCCCTGTTGGGCTTCGCAGTACCCGAGCCGATTATAAAACTCCGTCCTAACATTCGATAGTACTTCCGGTGTTATGGAGTTAGTACTATCAAATATTTTGGCCCTTAATTCAACTAAATTTGGTTTTTTTTTGGTCTCTCATGTGGATACCTATAAATTTGTTGCTTTAAGTGACCCCAGAAAAAAAAGTCCAGAGGGGTCAAATCCGGTGATCTTGCCGGCCATGGTATGTTGCCTCTGCCACAAATAAGCCGTTCAGGAAAAGTCCTTGTCAGGAATTCCTGAACTGGTCTTGCATTGTGAGCAGGACAGCCATCCTGCTGAAACCAAATTTCATCAAAATTGACATTAAGGATCCGCACAGCTGGTATAATTTGATTCTGCAGCATCTGCAAGTATTTTGCAGCATTTAAATACCCATCGATCACAAAAGGCCCAACAATATGGTCGCCCAAAATACCGGCCCACATATTAATATTTTGGGGATATTGGGTACGTAGTGGCACAGTCAGATGTTTATTTTCCCGTGACCAATATCTAACGGCTGAAGGATTGTGATGACCATGAAGAGAAAATGATGATTCGTTTGTAAATAAAATGTTTTTTAAAAATTGTTCGTTTTCATCAATTTTCTGCCTCATGGTCTCACAAAACTCCATTCGTGCGATACAGTCACGTGGAAAAATTTCTTGGGTAGTTTTAATTTTGTACGATTTGTAACCATGTTTTTTCAAAACATACCGAACTGTGCGGTCCGGAACGTCAATTTCTTGTGAAATTTAAGCAATGTGTAGAACATGTGTAGAAGCAAGTGAGCATGGCTCACTTGCTTCTACAAAGGCACATATATTTTGATCCCTCTCGACTCTTTCTTCAGGAATAGGACGGGGTTCTTGATCCTCGTGGTAGCATTTACCACACTGGTTAATGCAGCCAGATTGCTTAAAACGATTAAAAATATTAAAAATCGTTTGGCGCGATGGGACCTGTTGACCCGGGTACGCAAATATAAATTGCCCAATAACTTCCTCGGCACTTTCAGCTTTGCTGTACCATATCACAATATTTATTTTTTGCTCACGAGAATACATTTTTTAAAAAATAACTATTAAATACTTCTAAGGCAAAAGGCTATGTGATAATGTGAAAATGAACATGGAATATGGAGAAGAGGAATGAGCTAGAGCCAGAGTGGGAGATCCAGTTAGTGGGGACAGTAAAGACGATAGACAGTGTTGCCATTCTATTAAATAGGATTATGTTGGCTTATCCCAAATCTTAAATCTTATTTTGCCTACTTAATAAAATATTAAATAAAGTACAAAAGAATTTTAAAAATGTTTTCTCTGGGCACATAACTTCCATCTAAAACGAAAAGTAACATGCAAAATGTTGAAATCACTTCTGAAATAGCAATTGATAGTAGTGATGTAAAAATTCTAAGTAATCGTTACAAAGTAATAGTTACTTTACGAGGACTCGAAGTAACGCTTACTATTTGAATTTAGGACTCGTTACTCGTTACTAAGCTAATTCGTTACTTTTGCGCCGGCAGTAATCGTAATCCCTGGAAATGCACGAACCGAGAACTCGAAACTCGATACTGAAATATTCCTTACTTCGACGTAGGTCTAGTTGTTATCAATATGCTTATGTTTAAAATGTTGACTTGACGCCGGCCGGTGTTTTGGATGGCAAATGTGTGATATTTTTATTACAATTATTATGGGGATGGGCTCATGCCGACCCGGAGGCGGTCTGTCCCTTTGCCGTTTGTTGTCGCTTTTTATTTATAGGATAGAATCGTTTATTTAGATTAACATGTCTTAGATATTAATTAAAAATGGATTCACGTTAGTCACAAAAAATGTTAACATCTGAAAAAGCAGAGCAAATATTTTTCTTCTTCAAAAGAGAATAGATATTTCGCCACTTACACTAAAAAAATCTACAAAATAAAAATAGTAATTTTTAGTAAACACTGGGGCTGCGTTAATCCAAAGAACTTTTTGAAGAGATGAATCCGCCACAGAGGAATATACATTTTTTAATATTTTACATTTTAACAAAAATATATACATTTTTTAAATTTTTACTCTTTAATGTTTGCCTATTTATTAATGTATTACAAGAGAGAGAGAGAGAGAGAGAGAGAGAGAGAGAGAATAAAAAATACTTTATATTTATTATACACATATTTTCTATGTTTGATTTGTTTTCTTTTATTTTTAATTTTATTAATAGTACATATTTTTATTTAACATCATTATAAAAATATTATACATATTATTAAAAACATATTATTCAGTACTTGAATACCGAGTATTGAAATTATCCTATTAAGCCCTTACACTATAAGAAAGTAGAAACCCCTTATAGGTTAAACCGAGCATGCAACGAAGATCGCGGCGCACAATAAGTAACGAAGTTCCACGTCAAGCCCAAGTCTTCCAACCTGTACACAGAACAACGATTATAAAGTAACGATACTAAGTACCAAAGTAACGAGTCCAAAGTAACAAGTCCTATTACCAAAAGTAACTAGTAGTTACGAGTCCATACAAGTAACTAAAGACTAAAGTTTACATCACTAAAGGCGGGCAGCCACTGCGAGCGAAACTAAACTAAGCGAAGATAAGATTTGTAAAAATCAGCTTACATACTTTTTAATGCGTCAGCGGCTACTTGACCGAAACAAACGAAAATATATGAACGAAGATTCGAATGGTAGTTTAGTTTCGCTCGTTTTAGTTCGTGACAGGTTCCAGCGAATTTTAGGCAGCGATTAGTTCTATGATAGCAGGGATACAATACGGAGTGGCAAATATGAGTGGAGTTCCCATTTAATTACCTTTAAGGCGAGCGGCCACTGCGAGCGTAACTAAACTAAGCTAAGAATATGAAAACAAACATCTTCGCTTAGTTTAGTTTCGCTCGCAGTGGCCGCTCGCCTTAATTGATAGCAAGTGCAATTCTATGAAATGGCAACACTGTCCAACGCATGACCTTCCGACCAGTCGCAGTCGCCCCGGCATCGACGCGTTGGTCGGCGGCGGCGGTGTCAAAAGAAAAAAAACTTTCTAAGGAGTAGCCGAACAGGGTTGCCGGGTTGTTAGGTTATAATTCTATACGAGAACAAAATTCTCCGTAGATCTTAAACAAAAATCAAAAGTACAGAAACACAAAATAAAATATAATATTTAAGTCCAAAATTAGCATTCCTATGTGTTGTAATAATAGAGCACTCAAATAAAACACAAATAAAATAAATATAACAAGAATTAGAAATAGCTAGGGGTATTATCTAATATTAAAAAATATACCGGGGGCGTCTCAAAAGTGGCTCACCCCTATAACTTTTTTATTTTTTCAGTTAAAAAAACGAGATTTGGTATATTAGTATATGACATAAATTAGGATTGATTGACGTTTTCAATTGTTTTTGGTCACTTCCTATTTCACCGGAAATGACTACAACTTTTGATTTTTAAATGGCACCCTCGGTATTTTTTTACTTTATTCGATAGCAAATGAGATTTTGAATAGAATGCCATATCATATGTCAACTTTTGACATTTTCGCATATGGTTTATTTGAAATTATAACTTGAGGTTTGTAACGAAATTTTTTTTTTTTTTTACTCATAATACCTTAATACGAATAAGTATGTGGTATCAAATTATTCGTAAAGAAATGCTTTTTCCAAATATGCTAATGAGCCACCCTCGTTCCATTTGAAATAATTGAGATATGATTAAAAATACGATTTGAGCGTTTTCTAACTAGCCAGGACAAGACACTAAAAACATTAGACGATCAAATCTATTTTTTCCAAGGCTCCTTGATTAAGAATTAGTGTTTTTAACATAGCCATGGTACTCTAGATTGAATTTTAAAATACGATTTTTTATTAAGCGAGATGTCAAAAGTTGACATATGATATGTCATTCTATTAAGAATGTCATTTTCTATCGAATAAAGTAAAAAAATTCCGAGGGTGCCATTAAAAATTCAAATTTTGTAGTAATTTCCGGTGAAACAGGAAGTGACCAAAAACAATTGAATACCTACGTCAATCAATCCTAATTTTTGTCATATACTAACATACCAAATATTTTATCTCAAAAAATAACAAAGTTATAGGGGTGAGCCGCTTTTCAGACCGCACCCGGTATATTAAATTAAATAATATTTATATATTTATATAAACATATAAAACTATAAGAAGTAGGGATAGCAGTCACTTTTTACTTTTGTACAAATTTTGATCAGTGATATCTAAAATTAATTTCATTTCAATGGGAAAGCTGTAGCAACTCTCAACTCTTTTTTTATATTAATATATTTTTTAGACAGGAAAAGCACTAAAATATTTGTCCGTATTTAGTTTGTTTCTTAACTTAGATTTTGTTTTTGTTTACATTTTTTGGGGGGAAATGCGGGTTCAACTTTAGCAGATGAATGAAACAAAATATTTTCTAAAGATATCATCTTCGGGCATGTCACCAATACCGCGCCTAATGAGGAGTAATAAGGATTTGTGGGAATATCTCTGTAACTCTGCAAGTAGACAGATTCCAACGCGGTGGTCGCTTAATTTTTAGTCCAAATATGTCAAATTTTTAAAAGTGCTTGTATTGTAAAGACTGAAGATGCAGTGGATCATATCGATAGATTTTTATTTAATTCGGTAGATCGGTTCGGTAGTTTACACGGAACTCGGTAGACCTGGCAACACTGTGATGGACTGCGAGATTGGGCCTTGCGGGGGCGCGGGAAGAGAAATAAAATAATGGCGATAAAAGGCAGGTGGATGATATTATGAGTGGATGGGAGGCGGTGGCATTTGCAAAATTTGTTGTCTTATTGGAGTTTGTCTAACTCGACAATCGTAGTGGAAGTGGAAACGGGGAAGTTGTTATCCATCTCTGTTTAAGCTTAGACTTTTTATAGGCGTTTCATTCCAATGCATGTAATTCCTATGCCTAGATTCAACATTACCGGACGTGTATAGTTACCTCCTCCATGAAGAATCTGCTCTCTTAACCAAACAAGACTGGCAAAAGCAAATAAAGTACAGCATACCACAAAGCATCCTTGAAAAATGTCGGCTGCTATATTTTCACTAGAAATCATTTCAAATGGAAGGGTAAGAATTGCATCCACTGTGCCTAATAAACTTATTTGTTAGTTAATTATTCTAATAACAATAATATAGTCATCTCACCAGCAAACAATGCTCTATATATCCGACATGCTGTAAGAGGTACAATACCCAACCATGCTAAGGCAACAAGGGTATAGTGGAACCAATATTTAACAGCTGTTGCTATTGATGATAATAATCCTGAAGCTAGATCTCGCACAGGCAATCTTCTAGGCATATCAGGTGAATAAATTGGAGTAAATGAGAATTTGTGACCACATAATTCACAATATTCCTTCCTGGAATACCTATAATAACAACATTTAGTTATGTTCTAAACACAAAATACTATTTTTGTCAGTACCTCATCCACTGAACAAGACATTCTTGGTGTATCCACTTAATACTCCCAGTACAAATGCAAGGATGGAATAGAAGACGATCTGGACCTCCTTCTGATCGACATACTCTGCATATATCAGCGTTGGTAAGTTCTGATTCCATTTTAACTAGAAAAAATACCAGTTTCGTTTTTAGATTACATTAACCAGTAGCTAATGTCCTAATAAGCTTTCTAATTCAGTTGATATAAACCAGACAACTCTTTAAATGTAATAAAATAAAATGTTTTGCTATATCAAGTACAAAGAAGAAAGGCTAATAAAATAGGAATATTGTACACTTACGTTTTGTAGGCTACAACATATCTTAAATCTTCTAATTTCAAATAATGATTTTTAGGAAATCAACAAAAGTATCTACTTTTTATATAAAAATCAGCAAGAAACTTCTGTAACCTATTTTATGATATCAATTTTCCATAGATCTTTTTATTTCATTTTGACATTTCTATATTTTCATATTTTCATAGAACTACGATACTATTGATGTTCGTATCATACTCATCAATGAAGTTAGCAACAAATAGATCGAATAATTTTTAGATAAGTAAAACTGAAAAAAAATAATATTATTATAATTATATTCTTTGAACATGATAATATACCAATTCGTACGTAATTAAAGATATGTGATACAAATATATTTATATTATTAATAAAATGTTAAATGTATAACAAAATGCATACCTGCTTATCAACGACATAAATATTCGTTCATTTCAAGGTCCCATGGTGTAATGGTTAGCACTCTGGACTCTGAATCCAGCGATCCGAGTTCAAATCTCGGTGGGACCTAATGTTTTTTTTATTTATTAAATATTATATTATAAGAAGCAAAATACAAAATAAAATAAACTTTTTCTTAAAAACCAATATATTATAAATAAAAATTAAATGTATAAAGAAATAAGGTTACAATTGCTTCTTTAATGCTAATACATTACAACACGATTTTATTCTATTACTATTAAAATCTATATCAAAATCTTGTAAGTAATGCCTAAATCTATTTCTCCTTTTTGTATTTGTGGATGATCTCAGTTCTTCTGTACGAGCCACGTGTCGTAAATTCGGTAAGTAGTCTAAAGCCACTGCCTGACGATCTAATACATTACATGAAGGCACCATCTGCTTTAAAAAGTTTTCACACGCATGCTGTTTACCTCTCCACCTTAAAAATATAATACATTAATAAAATTACATATTATTGTTAATACTTTTTTTTTAATCAATGTATCTATGTATAGTAGAGATGGGCAGAAAATCGCAAACTGCGATTTAATCGCATCGATTGTAAATTCGCAATCGCAACCTGCGATCCCCTTTCATAGTAAACTGCGAGTTGCGATTGAAATATCTATCTGCCGACTTTTGATTTTTATGCAACCAATATTACTTCAGTTGCGAGTTGCGATCGCAGCCCCCAACACTGCGATTTTCGATTAAGGCATCGACAAGCATACGACGTCTAGCGCAATTCGCAGTCTAGACTAAATCGCAAAATCACATTGCCAGTTACAATTGGCAACTGCCAGTTGTGATCGCGGTTCCCACCACTGCGATTTTCGATTTTTGAAATCACATTAGCAGTTACAATTCGCAACTGAAGTAATATTTGTCTAGCAACTGAATCCCTGTCATTGGGCGCGTTCAGGGAACACAGCCGCTGACATTCAGCGTAAAATTTCGCTGACCAGCAGCTTACGATATTCCCTAAACGGCACAAAGCAGCAGAAAGAACAAGAAACAGTAGCTGTCTCATGCGATCTCTGTCTACTGTAAAAATTTGAGAGAAATATAAATAAATCGTCTTCGTCAAATCGGTCTATAATCGATCTTTAGTCTTTAGAATAAAAATTATTTTGAAAAAAGAATTATTATTATTGGCTGATCATTTAATAATTGAAAATATATTATATTATTATTTGACAATACAGTATTAAACATTAAATTTCTAAAAAATAACGGTTTATAAAAATAATTTTACCTATACACGTAAACAAAACAACTTATAACGGGAACTGGCAGTTCGACCAAGTCACCTTTTACGCATTTTTTTTTCGATGGTATATGATACAAATAAAATTACTGAAGGTGTAAATACCCTACAATAAAAAAACGATGTCAGGGGTGATGTGGAGGTGAAGATTGCTGTTACTTTATAAGTAAACTTATATTAGTATAGGGAATATTATCGATCGTTATTTCTAAGCCAATTAGGCGCAATTTTTTTTCGATCAGACGGTATTATAATTACACTCAAAAGTTATTTATGCTGATTTAGATTTTTTTCAGAAAGTAGTATTTTTTCATAATTTCATTGTATTTAGAAAATTCGACATGAGATGAAAATCAAGTTGAATTTTCTTTATTTCTTTAACTTCTTCGATCTCTATTTACAAGTCGAACGTTTTAGATTAACCTACTGCTTTGTAACTTTTTTGGCAACAAATATCTCCTATTTTTTAAAGATTCGATTAACTACGATTGACTACAAACTTCAACAAACCATAAAAAGTAAACAATAAACGAATAAACTGAGAAAATTAAAGTTACTTTTAGTTATTTTACATTAGTTGACCACAGATAAGAAAATAGATTAAGGCTGACTTATCTAAGCCTAAATATTTATCGCTGAGAATTTTGTACAGCGACTGACTGTTGCTGTTCGTCAGAATGGACCGTTTAGGAAAATCGCTTACTCAGCCACTCAGCGGCTGACCGTCCCTGAATGCGCCCATTCTTATGAAGCGTTGGAAACTATGCTTAGGTGTAGCGTAATATATAATTTATTAGCTTAAATTTTGATAATTATACATGATTTTTTATATAATAATATTTGAATATAGTTTGATTTATAATAGGTATATTATATGGATTGAAAATGTTTAAAAAATCTTGTTTTCGGTTATAACTAATTATATTTGTTGCTCTCAGATATAATTCAGATCGTTTAGATTTAAATAATAGGATTGTTAACAAAGCCTTATTCCTTTTTTCCAAGGTCGAATTTGTTCTAATATAGTATAATTACTTATTATTTTTAGAGTTTTTTATAATTTATTTTAAGTGTTATATATCTATATTATTTTGTCTATTATAGAGTAGATGAATTAATAGCAACATTTGAATTTAATTAAAAAATTAATCATAAGCACAGTTTTTTAGATTCAAATTATAAAAATTATCTATTTTTATTCTTTATTAACCGGAAGACATACTGCCATTACTCGCTGACGAGTATTTGACACGCATCAGAAGATGGTCACGCAAGGCGTTTTCTTTCATGAGCCTTTCTGGCAACCGGAAGACATAGATTATGGTAAAAAACCTCTTAATATTGGGCACTTTTTTCAGCCATTCTTATTTATAATATTTTGTTGTATGTTATCTTTACAGCGTGCGGAGTACCAATTTAACAATATTAAAATCGCAATCGCAGTTTTGCTCATCTCTAATGTCTAGTTTTAAGTAACAAATGTAATTATTGTTGCGAGCCGGTGTGGACTCGACCTAACCTCACAATATGGCCCGCCCTCGGATGACCTTAACATCGCATAGACACCGCAATGATTCATTCGTTCGAGAAGAATCGAGACCCACTAGAATGGACTCGTACATACGAGAACATTCGAAAACCTTCTCTATGCGCCTAACGATCTTTGGACTATTCTAGATTTCTTTTACCTGTCGGTATAAAAGCCGGCGGCAGTGGCCTAGAGAGGGCAGTTATAAATATACCAGTGCAGTTGACGCGCGAAAATTCAAAAATAAATTCTTAGTTATAAATCGTTTGTAAATAGTTCTATAAGTCTTTTATCGTTATTGTTTTTGTTAATTAGTGTTAAATAAATAGTGTTTAAATAAATTGTGACGTTCTATCCACACGGAACCGACGAAAAACGTAACAATTGGTGTCAAGTGTGGCGTGTGTGATAGAGTAGGAAAATAAAAAGACAGACAGTGGCTCCGAAAAAATTGTTGAAAGACTTGAAAGTGTCGGAATTAAAATGCGTACTGGAAGAGAGGGAATGCGAAACAGATGGAAAGAAAAGCATTTTACAAGCCAGACTGAGAGACGTTTTGATTGAGGAAGGTGAGGATCCTGACACATTTTGCTTTGAGCTGGAAGGTGACCTTGACTCGTGCTTACAAAAATTAGACGCCAACTTGAACAATTTGAATAGTAAAATAACTGACTTGGAAGTTAATTTAGAAGATAAGATCGCAGAAAATTCTAAAGACATACAGGCCAGCTTCAATAATAAAATATTGAATTTAGAACAAAGTTTATACAACAAGATAACAGAAAACTCCAAGGAATTAGAAGAAAAGATAATAGATACACAAGACAAAATAGCACAGATTGAGGACGATGTTAACAGAAAAATCGAAATTTTAAAAGAAGAAATAGCGAAGTCAAATTCACCAAAATGTCAAGAAACATCGGAGGGACCGAAACTAGTCGAAAATAGGTATGCCTCAAAATCAGTTATAAAACCTCCACAGTTTGACGGAAAAACCGCTTGGGCCAATTATTTTTGCCAGTTTGAGGCCGCTGCGAGAGCGAACGGATGGACAATCGCTGAAAAGGCTACCGCTTTGACTGTCGCACTGCGAGGAGATGCGACTGATATCCTGCAGACACTGTCACCATCGGAACAGGGAGATTATCAGCAATTGGTACGACATTTAGAAATGAGGTACGGCCAAGCTCATTTGGAACATGTCTATCATTCCCAGCTAAAAAATCGCATTCAAAAGTCAAATGAGTCTCTGCAGGAGTTTGAAGCCGACGTAGCCCGCCTCGTTCGCCTTGCGTACCCTGCTATGCCCGAAAATGTTATGGAGCGCTTAAAAGTACAGGCTTTTATTGATGGTTTATGTGACAACGAGACAAGGCAAACACTTCTTTTAGCTCATCCAACGCATTTGGGAGATGCCCTAGCACGTGCCCTGGAATTTGAGGCCGCGAAAGAATGCTCTAGGTCTCTAGGATTTGTACGGGCTGTTGAGGAGAGTTCCGACGATTCCAAAGTGGAAAGGATTGTGCGGAAAGTACTGGATCAGTATATGAGTAAGAAGGGGGGACCGATTCGCTGTTGGAATTGCGGACAGATGGGAAATCGTTGCAAAGAAGAGAAAGAAGTGAAAGTCTTAAGGACGACTGTGGTTGGTGATAGTTGGCAAACCGAAGATCTTGCAAATGACCAAATCAGTGATCCAGAGTTGGGCTTGGTGATTAACTGGAAAAACGCGGACCAGAGACCAACGTGGGAGGAAGTTTGCAGATATTCGCCGAACGTGAAGTCGTACTGGTCCCAGTGGAATTCATTGGTAATAGATAACGGATTACTTCGCCGTGTGATTGTGAGACCAGAGGGACAAGAAGAGAGAAGGCAGATCTTCATTCCAAAGAAGAGGGTCCCGAAGTCTTGGCGGAAGTTCACAATGGAACCAGCGGTGGACATCTTGTGTTACCAAGACACTTGGCAAGCTGCGTGAACGGTTCTACTGGGTGAACTGCAAAGAAGATGTGAGGGCCTGGTGTAAGAAATGTGACATTTGCGCAGCCATTAATGGGCCACAAAAGCGTGGTAAAGCCCCTATGCGCCAGTACAATGTTGGTAGTCCCTTCGAACGAATAGCGATCGACGTGGCTGGTCCTTTCCCGGAGACGAACGATGGCAACAAATACATTGTGGTAGTAATGGATTACTTCAGCAAATGGGTCGAGGCCTACGCGTTGCCAAATCAAGAAGCGTCCACGATTGCTGATGCCCTTGTTAAAGAATGGATCTGCAGGTTTGGTGTTCCCATGGAGCTTCATTCAGATCAGGGAAGAAACTTTGAGTCCAATCTGTTCCAAGGCGTCTGTGAAGTCCTGAACATCCGCAAGACCAGGACGACTGCTCTACATCCACAATCCGATGGGATGGTTGAACGCATGAACAGAACTATCAACCGTTATCTGGCCAAAGTAGTCTCTGACCACCAAAGAGACTGGGACAAATTTCTTCACCTGTTCCTGTTGGCCTACCGTTCATCCGTCCAAGAATCTACAGGGCAAACTCCAGCCAGCATCGTTATGGGACGGGAAGTGCGCCTACCCTGTGATCTGAAATTTGGTTGCCGACCGGGAGAAGAAGTCGCCGGAGAAGATTATGTCCACACACTACGTCAAAGGATGGACGACATTCATCAGAGAGTCCGCCTAAATATTCAAAGTGCTAGTGACCGAATGAAGGAACACTACGACATTCAAGCTGAGCATGGAGGATACCAACCAGGGAAGTTGGTGTGGCTATATAACCCGCAGAGACGTCGTGGGTTATCTCCGAAGCTACAATCCTCGTGGGAAGGGCCATACGAAGTCATGGATAGAATTAATGACGTCGTATACCGTATCAGAAAATTGCCAAAAGGAAAACCGAGGGTAGTCCATTTCAACCGTTTGAGCCCCTACCAAGGCGAAATAGAAGATCGTGCTGGGACCGTGAGAACCTGCAGCTTTGATCCCCCTGATTCGGAGATGTCCTTTGACGATTTCATGGCCCGATACAACAGCAGTGAGAAGGCTCGCTATGGTGTAACCAAAGAAGATCAACGAGACCTCTTTTCCGTGCCTCCTGATTATTCGCTCGCTCATTGTGTGGCTCGAGATTTGCGGATGTCCAGAGGAATCGCTGCGACGTTCAATGAGAAGTTTGGGCGTGTCGGAGAACTACGCCGACAGGATCCAGAGGTTGGAAGCGTCTTGAGGCTAACCGACAATGCACATGGTCAAGCAAGGCACATCTTCTACCTGGTCACCAAGGAATGGTCCCCGAGTAAGCCGACTTATCTCAATCTATGGAAGACCCTGATTGAACTGAGAGAAGCCCTGCTAAACAACAACATTGCACGATTAGCCATTCCGAAGCTGGCGTGTGGACTCGATGGTTTGAGTTGGCGTACAATCCGGAACATGATTGAAGTCTTGTTCAGATTTACGGGAATCGAGATCCTCGTTTGCTGCTACAACCCAAAGCTGAGATCGGGAGAGAAAACTGTAGACTGCTATTTCTACCAGACTTCGCAATGTACCAGGGGCCAGCTTTGCAAATACCGTCATTCACCGTATACATCTCGGGACGAGCATGTGCCTAAGAAGGGGGCAGTGTTGCGAGCCGGTGTGGACTCGACCTAACCTCACAATATGGCCCGCCCTCGGATGACCTTAACATCGCATAGACACCGCAATGATTCATTCGTTCGAGAAGAATCGAGACCCACTAGAATGGACTCGTACATACGAGAACATTCGAAAACCTTCTCTATGCGCCTAACGATCTTTGGACTATTCTAGATTTCTTTTACCTGTCGGTATAAAAGCCGGCGGCAGTGGCCTAGAGAGGGCAGTTATAAATATACCAGTGCAGTTGACGCGCGAAAATTCAAAAATAAATTCTTAGTTATAAATCGTTTGTAAATAGTTCTATAAGTCTTTTATCGTTATTGTTTTTGTTAATTAGTGTTAAATAAATAGTGTTTAAATAAATTGTGACTTTCTATCCACACGGAACCGACGAAAAACGTAACATTATTGTACTATTATTTTTTTATTTTATTATTATTGACATGTGTGTATATGTACGGTTAAAGTCCGATGTCCGGTTAATGTCGACATTAACAGTTGTCGAGAAAACAATAAGCATATTTTCGGATAGTCAAGCCCTGTTGAAAGCGCTTGAGGAAACGAAAAGCACGTCTATGACGATTCTTCATTGTAGAAAACTACTCAATTTATTAGGAGATAAGAACAAAGTGTCGCTAATAGGGATACCGGGACATGTCGGCCAAGAGGGAAACGAATGTGCTGACTCCGTCGCTAAAACAGGTGCAGGTTCGCCATTCGTGGATCCAGAACCGACAATTAGCGTTCCAAAAAACTTCACAAGAGACAGGCTTTGTGAATGGGTTAGGAGTACGACGTTTCGGGACTGGAATGACAGTCTCAAAATAGAACATGCCGAGAAAATCCTAGCTGGGCCATCCAAACGCAAGACAGGAGAACTCTTAAAGGCTGGTAGGAATGGAACGCGTACACTCACTGCAGTATACACGCGTCACTGCCGGCTGAGATCACACCTACAGAGGATGAGACTAGTGAAAGACAGAATGCCGACTCTGTATGGAAGTTGACGAAACAAGAACCACGTTATGTATACCTGCCCCGCTGGGAGCAGGATCAGGTTTGAGGTGTTTGGCAAAACCATGCTAGATCTATCAGACCTAGGAGACATATCACCATCAGACATAACAGCCTAAGTTAAAAGCTTGGGTCTTGAGGGTGAAATTTAATACTCCTTTTGTGTTAAAAAGCTTTTAGTGAATACAAATACAATACTATTAACTTACCTTCTTTCTAGTGTAGTAGGTACTGCAGCACTTATTCCATAATTTGAATTGTACCTTACTTGATATTCTTCAATATAACTGTTTATTAAAGTGTGTGTCATGTCATGTATTAAGTCAACAGATTCATGGATATCTTCTTTTCTATCAGTCAATTCTAAAGAGTCTTTTACAGTATGATACCAGGTATTTTCCAGGGGTCCTTTAGTACAATAATGTGCAGCGTTATATAGTTCATCAGTTAAAACACATGAGTCATACAGATTTAAAAGTAAAGGTATATTAATTTGTGTTTCTGAAGAGTCATTCGCAGTCTCTTTTTTACTAACTTCTTCACAGTCTGGTTCATCTCTGTGAAGCCTTTCTGAATACAGATTAAAATTAAAAATATTTGGTACATTCCACCATATTTTTCCAAGGTCAAATAAGTACGGTATTTTAAATTGTTTATTTTGTTTGAAAATTTCAAAACTCCCAAGACATTGTGAATGAACAAACCCATTCTCATCGTCATCGTTGCCAGCATCTAAATTAATTTCATCATCCTGAATTTTTAAGTCATTTCCAAATGTTGAGTTATTAGTAAAAACAGAATTTCTGTCAAGTTGACCACCAGACTGACACCAATACTGAAGGGACAATAGTGTCTTTCTAATATCGCCATTATTATAATCCAGAAAATTTCCCACATCATTTTTATCCAATAATATCCCTTCCACGAGGCACACAATTTGCAACCAAACTCCCAAAACTTCCTTGTATAGTGGCATAAAAGAAATACTCTCATACTGACTTAAAAACCTTTGCACATGTTCTGGCCCGCTGTCTGTAGTGGTTAAAATGATTGGCCTCTTGCTTGTTGTTATAAGTTGACCTAAAGAATTTAAGAATCCTTCATCCTGATCAAAAACCAAGTCAATGTCTTCTACCAAAAGAATACACATTTTCTTTGAATCATCTTTTTCATCATTAGATAATCCATTTGTTTTTTTGGTTTTTGACTTTGATTCATTATCAGCATTCACAAAGCCTGCTAAAGCATTTTTTGAACTCTTTCTTACTTGATGGGACTGGGTGGCTTCACGTAGTTCTTGCAGTAACCTCTTTCCTAAAATAATAGAAAACTTAAAAACGAAATTATTGTCTAATATTTCTGTATTTTACCTGTACGTTTGCTAGATGCATTAACTTCCAAAACATTAAATCCTAATTCAGCTGCGATACTAAAAACGGCAGTTGTTTTACCACTTCCACATGGGCCCACAAGCACGACCACATTGCCAGGTAATCTTGTGCTATCTCTAAATAAAATTAATTAGTAAAAAAAAGGCCTTAGGACCAATTAAAGTCTATACTCTACACAGTTCCATAAAATAAAACAGACAGTATTAACAAGATGATAATTTTCCTAAATTAACACTATTAAAATTAGAGATAATAATGTTCTTTTAAATAATATCCTACATCAAATTTAGTAATTTAGAACAATACCTATTTAATATAAGGTCTGACTGCGGCTTACATTTCTTAAATATTCTGTTATTTAAAATATTTTATTGTAAAATGTAACATGCTAAACAATGTACAATGTACTAAACAGCGTCCAGTTGGCTTGGAAATGAACGTCGATGACATTCCTCATGTAATTTTACATATTGAATGACAGCGACATTTCATAGCCATCGCTGGCGCCGTTTTTTTCGATCATACAGTACTACAACCCAGGGAGTCAAATATCTCTAAATAAGAATATTTAATGGCACGACCGACCTACGCTCAACGGATATTTTGTTTTATTGAAATTAGTAAAATGGCGGTCCAAAATTCCGGACGCGCCCGCTCAAGGGTTAACCATCAATATTGTATTAAGTTACGGTAAATATGTATCTAACTTTCTTTTACTCTCTTTTTCAGGATGGTATAATTTTCAAGTTATAATTTATTCAAAAACAATAATGGCAGATTTTACGAAATTAAAACTGTATATTACATTTTTAAAGATATACCAATAAGCATCAAAGGGCGTGCAGAATTTATGAATATGCGATATAGCACTATATGCGCATCTAAGATCCCAGTACTATGAAATGGTTTTAAGATTTGTCTAAAAATGGGGGGTCGAAAGATCTTGAAATAGCAATATCTCATGAGAGTATAAAAACGGGAAACAACGAGGGAACAATAAGTGTTTTCGATTATGAAAAAATTGTAAAGAAAGATATCGAACAAAATTGGTCAAAATTGATAATTATGTGTAGAGTGTCATTGTGATTAAGGAGTTAATTGTAGTTTCAATAAATTATCTGTTTGATCATGTTTAAATTAAGGACCCACGGAATCCGTAACAATATTGTGTCCTTTTAAATAATTAACATGTTTAAGCTATATAAAGTCAGAAAATTCGTTTAGAAATTTAAGTGCGTTGTTATTGTAGACCGAATCAGTAGAGTTCTCGCATGTAAATATGAACCCATCTTGCTTGCGTTTAGAGGTTTCGCCGATTCATAAGCGTGGGCTTAAATATTTTTATTCAAATGGTACAGTCTTGGTGCATTTCAGTTCATTTTAAAACTTCCGAACGCAGCGCTCGATACGGCAGAAATTAGTGCCGGGTATAAAGTATTCCACGAAGTCCCATTACCGTTTATGTCGATCGCATTGAAATAATATTAACATCGTGGTTTCATCATAATATTTAAGTATTTGATTTTTTACTAGTGCAGTTATTGAAACTATAAAACACTCAGGTACGAGGTTTGTGTGATGTAACTGATGTTACTGTTTCGAGTAAAAAAAATTAAGTGACGCCCTGTTAAGTTGTGACCATTGAAGGGGTGGCTGCAATAACCAGGCAGCTCCACTTTAATACATTTGTGGGAAATCGAAAAAGAGTTGCTCGGTCCTTGCTGCAAACCCATTGTAAGACAGCTCTAACTAACGTCGCCATTTATGTACTGTTACATTGAGAGAACTGATTGTTACAGGAAACGATCGGACAATTTTTTTAAAGGGTAATTCATTAAAAATCTCATTTCGAAAAAAGGTGGAGCTGCCTGGTTATTGCAGCTACGACCCCTTCAATTTCAAATGTTAATAAAATTGGCGAAAAAATGTTAACGCGTAAAGGAGGGCGTAATTAGGGCGTTGTTGAGTGCAATAACATTCAATAACTTAACTTACCCGGATATTCAACACTCCTGAATTGTGATGGGAAAAACCGATTAATTTCAATAATCGAGTACTCGAGTATCAAGCGATTGCAATAACCGAATGATGACTCGAGCGATATATCACTCGTATTAAAAAATACGGTTTTCACCCGTCCGTCGCATGTTGTAAGTACTCGTTAACGCCAAGCGCCAAGCAGTAAGTTGCGTGCGCAGGGAACATATTCTTTCGGTAATGAACGGCAAGTAGTAAGCAGCGACCGATTCGCTTGATCGCTTGATTTAGTTTATTTCGCAGCATTGTCGATGTAGGTCGTAAAATGTTGTCCCTCAGATACGTAACGGATAAATATACTGGGTGCGTCTCAAAAGTGGTTCACCCCTATAACTTTTCTTTTTTTCAGATGAAACAACGAGATTTGGTATGTTAGTATATAACATAAATTAGGATTGATTGACATATTGAATTGTTTTCGGTCACTTCCGGTTTCACCGGAAATGACTACAGCTTATTTTTAAATGGCACCGTCGGTATTTTTTTACTTTATTCGGTAGAAAATGATACTCTGAATAGAATGACATATCACATGTCAACTTTTGACACTTTCGCATATGGTTTATTTGAAATTGTAACATGCGGTTCATAACGACAATTTGACTCGAAGTACCAAGTGTGTGGTATCAAATTATTCGTAAAAAAAATCTTTTTAGAAATATGCTAATGAGCCACCCTCGTTCCATTTGAAAAAAATTGAGATATGATCAAAAATACGATTTGGGCATCTTTAACGGGCCAGGACAAGGACAAGACACTAAAAACATTAGACGATCAAATCTATTATTCCAAGGCTCCTTGATTAAAAATTAGTGTTTTTAACACAGTCGTGGCACTCTAGATTGAATTTTAAAATACAATTTGTTTTTGAGCGAATATGTCAAAAGTTGACATATGATACGTCATTCTATTTAGAATGTCATTTTCTATCGAATAAAGTAAAAAAATACCGAGGGTGCCATTTAAAAATCAAAAATTGTAGTCATTTCCGGTGAAACAGGAAGTAACAGAAAACAATTGAATACGTCAATCAATCCTAACTTATGTCATATACTAATATACCAAATCTCATTTTTTTTATCTAAAAAAATAAAAAAGTTATAGGGGTGAGCCACTTTTGAGACGCACCCGGTATATACGGCGTCGTATTAATTTGCTACCTGCAATGTATGTAGAAAATTCGCTCGGCTTTTTATCGAGTATGTCATATTAAAATCGGATTTCAATTTATTTCATTCTAGGATCGCTTGCGTTTGTCGCTTGGTACTCGTCACTTGCATCGCTCGTTCATAATCGAGCGATGTCGGTTAATAATCGATTCAATATCAATTATCCCATCACTACTCCCGAAACAAGATTTTATAGCTTATGTGTAAAGTATAAACTAAGAACGGGGCTTTATGTTATATATTTTATGTTTGCTATTTGTAATGAAGCAAGTCAATAAATAATTGTTATTTTGATTATCATATTATTTTATGTCTTTACACCACTAGCAACGCTTAACGCTTCGTCCTACGTGGGAGACAAAAGCGAGCGGGCGACACGTGCGACGACAGAGGGCGATGAGAGTGACTCGCGCGACATATTTCAATCGCCTCCGATGCCGCTTCAGTCGCGCGCATCTCCTACCCAGAACAGCTTCGTAAGAAAACGTTGTTTGATAAATACACGTCGCTCGTACCGCCCGAATCGTGCGCTTTTGTCTCCCACCTAGGACGAAGCGTTAGACCTCTTGAATTTAGCATGCGGACTCAGAGTCCGCGCGCGACCCTTTCACGTAACAAATAAAGCGCGACCTCCGAAAGGTTAATTTGATAATTCATTTGATACTGTGGGCATTTATTGTTTTCAATAGTAGATATATTATACCGTATGATCGAATAAAAACGGCGTCCAGTTGGCTTGGAAATGACGATCGATGACATTTCCCATATAATTTTACATATAAAATGACAGCGATCTTCATTTCATAGCCATCGCTCACGCCGTTTTTATTCGATCATACGGTATAATTTTATGTTAATTACTATAAAAAATTATACTTCATTATTGATTTCCCTTAATAACTTAACCAATAATTATTATTTGACCATAATATTAATTAATTTAAAAATATGTATAACCTACCTGCTGTCACAGTCTGTTGATTCAAAATCTGATTCACTATTATAACCATTTTTCTTTTTTGCTTTGGCATTTATTTCATCACTGTAATTCATCCATATTTCTAACCATTTTCTTAAACTAGTAATTCCTGTGTGATTTCCTAGAATCTCTTCTGAGGAGTTTGGCTTATATTTCTCTGTCCATAGTTTGTCCTCGACATCCTGTAAAACTATTTTAGTGTCCTGGTCAATATTATTTTTACTACTTCTTTTAAGTTTCTGTTTAGATTTTTTAGAAGATCCATGTCCTGTTGATTTATATAAAGGAGTATTTCTATTTTTTTCATTGATGTATCTAAATACTTTATAAACAGGATAGTCTGAATTCTCTAGTTTAATTTTATTCAAGATTTTTTTCAAATTCGGTTTAGTGCCAGATGTGATTGAAAAACTTAATTTGGGAAAATCATTTTTTGTTATCAGATCTTGGCAATTAAATCTATAGGAATTATCAAATGCAGAGTATTCTGATAACTTTAATAATGGTTTAGATAATCTCCAAAATGAATGATCACATTTTTGTTGGATGTGGCTTACTCTAGGAAAAATATCATATTCAATTTCTAACATACTAAAAGAAAAAAGAAGATAAAATATTATGGATAGAATTTTATAAATTATTAACGCACTTTATTTCCTTTTTAGGGGCTTTTTTTAAAGAATCAGGAACGCCACTCATTAAAAATTGTTTTCGTGCTTCAACAGTTTCAGGATCTGCCTTTGGCTTTGGGACCACCTTTAGAAAGACCGGAGCTAATTTAGTGACTTTTGTTGATAATGTCTCACAATCGCTATCTGACAATATCTTAATTTCATTATCAGAATCAGTCGTCCTTATATCCTTTACATTATTTGTTTTTGTAAGTGATTCCCTTTTTTGTCTTTGCAAATTAATCTTCCTTGGTGTACTCTTAACTAAAGTTTTAATTTTTCCATTTACTAAATCAGATTTTCTTTGACTGTTAGTTTTATCTGGTAATTCACAGTAATTCACTGCATATCTAGCGGACCTCAATTTTCTCTCTGAGGTCTCAGTTTTTAGTTGATCTTTTTCTGTATGTTTTCCTTTTTTAAATTTATTTTCACTTGAATTTAAAGAAATATTTTCAGCTGTTACAGATACTGTTTCTTTGGATTTAGTCTTTCTAGTGACCTTACTAGAAAGTGACTTATTGCAATCTTGTTGTTTAGAATTTTTTTGTGATTCTTCTTCTAATATAGTTTTCTTTGAAGAGCATAAGGACTTTCTCTTTTTCGTACTGTCAGGTGTAAACATTTTAATTTTAATAATATTTTTTTGGCCAGAACTTGAACATCCTATAGGTTCATCAAATATGTCAATTTTTCCATCTTTTTTTACAACGTCTACAAAATCTGTTAAACTGTTTTGATTTATAGTTTTACACTTTATGTTTATGTTAATATTTCCTTCATTAATACCAGTCAAATTGCTTACTTTGCTATTCGTAATTAACATACTGCTATCATTACTATTTTCTGATTCAGATGAGCTAATCTTTTTAACTTTCTTTTGGTAAACCTTACTATGATGATTTTCTATATCATTATTAGAATTATTGGTAATTTGTAACATATTTTTTAATCTTTTAGCCCTTTTTTTCAATTTATGATTTATACAATGTTCAACTTCCTCCTCTTCTCTTTTACGTTTCGTAGCGCCCTTTTCATCAGCCCATTCTTTAAACAATTTCTTTCGCAAAAGCAGATTTTCACATTTCTCTTTAGTAGGAGAAGCAGTCATAGGAATTATTTTACCTTTAGAATTTTGACCAATCACATTATTTCGACTATTCATTAGAAATTGAAAAGCATTGATAGATTGCTCTTCTTTAGGTATTCTTTCTTTTTCACTTGAATCAATAATTTTACTGTCTTCACTTATCAAATTATTGGTGTCATTAGATTCCGGTAAAAGAGATGTACTGCTTAATTCTTCATTACTATTATTTGGTGAAACTAGAGATAAATTATGTGAGAATAATTGCGTAACATCTCTTACAAGTGGATCGCTGACTTTCCTCCTTTTTTTTCTTTTACAAGCTTTTTTACCAGCATTACTCTGCTCAATATTATTTTCTTCGTTTGATTGTTGACTACTTGTTACAATGTTTACATTTTTATCTTTAGAAATTTTCTTAGATTCTGAAGATTCTGTAGACTTTTCTGGGCTCGTAAAATAATCTCTTATATTCTTCATTCTTAAGTTTAATATTTGTATTTCTTACTTTTCTTAAGAATAATTTATTTTATTAAAGAATACTACCTAAAATACATTATGTAAAATACAAAATACAAATCTCATCAGGCGCCAAAATTTGATACATTTGTGAGGTTCGAATATTCCGCCTTCTTCATTTGTACAAAAGTTTTACGGCATACTCCGCCAGGACTACTTGGTCAAGTAATAGAATATCCCATATAGATATCTAATCCCCTTTTAATTAATTAACAACGTTCGCATGCGGGTGAGCGAGTCTGACGGTCCCATACCATGATTCGATAACAAAATGGAAAAAACGTAATAGAATGGATTAATGTAATCATATTCAAATGTAATCAAAGTTAACGCCCATAGATACCGTTTAAAATAATTTAAAGACAATTTTAAAAGAAGAAATTTTATATGTCATTTGTCATTTGTAGAAATATTCCATGTTCGTTTTGTGAGGTTAGCATTTAAAATTTAAATGATTGGTGATTTGTGATTGATTTTTATACATTTTTTAAATTAATAGATTATGATCAAGCTAATTCATATAAATGGTGATATTTTAATTTATGATGTAGAAAGTTGGACCGCCCTAAGGAAAGATTACAGAATTATTGGTCAGATAATTGGAAGTACATCTTTTATACCATCTTTACCAATGAAATTACTACCAGAGGAAGTCTTACTATTATTAAAGAAAAACTTAGCTATTGTACATGAAGGACCCAGTCATATTATTAATAATAAATCCGAATCAAATGAGTTTGAGGAAAGTTTTTTAAAAGCTCAGCAGGTCAAATATAGAGACATTAGAAAAGCACAATTAGATGTAGTTATAGATAAAATAGTTGACAAAAGAAATCAAGTAGGTGATAAACGATCTAAGGAAGAAATATTTGAGGAGGAGCTTAATAAATCATGTATAATAACACGAGAAAATATGTTATGGCCAATTTTTTTAGAAGGGGATACTACTAATTATAGTTTGGTGCCAAAGGAGAAAATGTTCGCCTTGTCATCTTCATTAAAATCTAATGTTTATATGGATCTTTGGGAAAAAGGTTACTACATAACAAACGGTGAGAAATTTGGTGGAGATTTTTTGGTTTACTTTGGAGACCCGATAGCATATCATGCTATATTTATAGTAAAATGTGTTGATGGAATAGCAAATATTAGCCCCATTGAACTGATTGCATTTGGTAGATTAGGAGTTGCAGTAAAAAAAAGAGCTGTTTTAGCAACTTTCACAGAAGGGAAAGTAGCATATTTAACTATTAACTGGATAGACGCTTAAGTATGAAGTAATATAAAAAATATTAAGCATATAAATTTTTAATATAACCGTGATTTCTCTATAATTTACAGGTCACAACAAGACATTGATCTAGCAAAAGTACAGAAGACAGACAGCCAATTATATACCATAAAACCAGTCATAATGATTTGACGTTTTTGGAAATGAAAGCCATCAAGAAATATTCTTGTTATAAATACTACTATTTCCAATAATATTATTACAGTGTAAAGGCATAAAAAGGGCATAAAGAAGATTGGATTGTCCTAGAAAAGAGAGTTAATTGTAATAATTAAAAAATATAAAGTAGGATTAACTAACCGTGAATAATCCAATCAGTAAAAATAAGTAATATTCTGTTGACAAAACCAAACATATAAGTTTAAAGTCTCTTTCTGCTTCGGCTGTTATTATTTTCTCATTTTTAATTCTTTCTCTTGACAAATATCTCGGTAAAGTAGGTCCACATTTGATAATTCTTAAAATATCAAATAAACTCAACCCCTAAATACAAATATCAGTTTAAAACAATAACTATATTTTAAATTATTCAATTACTTACAACACCTAAAATTCCTAACACACCAACATATATTGGAGCTATAGCCAGGGCAGGATTGGAACAAATATTGTTCACAAAAACTTTATTTTTTCTTACTAATGGCCCTATTACTGTATAAAAGGGAATTTTCATTATTTTCAGTTCTGCTTAAAATAAACATTATCACATTACTTATTAACGAAAATAGAGATATGTATATCTAACTGACAATTTTGAATTTATTGTAAAATATTAACACTGACATATTTACACAAAATTATAGTCTAGATACCTGTTGCTGGTGGGTATGACAAAAATGTCAAAAGTAAAATTTAAAAAATGATTTGATGTTGAAAGTTATATCTAAATTAAAAATGAGTTCCAGTACTCTAGCCCTTAAAAATAACCCGACAAATTATGAAGAACTTAATTTGAAATGTCCGAAATTTCAAGAGCCAAAATCCCCTGCACTCCTATTGACTTCATTATGGCTGTTTCAGTCTATATTTTCTGCATGCAAAATGGACTTTTATACTAATGTCCAAGGTAGAGTTAACAGTGATTTTAAATTATTCATGAAAATTGCTTTCAATTTAAATGGCTTAAAACTCAAACTGACACTTTTGAAATTCCATTAAGTATACACACTAAATGCCTTTTTTGAATTAAGATCGTCTGAATGCAAACAAATTTTTAGTATTGCCATCTAATTTCTAATTTTCTCATTGTTTTAAAATAAAAATATCATTTCTAAGTTACCTTTTTATACTTTAATACGTAAAAAATATTTTTAGGAATATCTATAACATTTAATATACAAGATGTGGTACTAATTTCATTTGCTGCTTGGATGTTACACAAGGGATTATCATCAGTGAGTTTTAAATATTTAATCATTTAAAACAAAACCATATCCTCATTGATGTATTTCCAGAGAAACATTGCCTTAATCTTACCATGGATTATAGTCACATTGTATGGACTATACTATAACCATTATAGAAGTCTTAGAAGGATGACTGTAATATTGAGAGCTGTAAGATTAGCTTCTCCATTTCCTTGGATAGCACTCTTTTTGACTGCTGTTGGTTTAGGTAAACCAAATAAATTTGAAACAGAAAAAAATTAAGCAATATTATCTGTACTATATGGAAGGCATATTTTAGTTGAATTTTCTGAAAATATTAGTACTAAAATGATAGATGTACTTAAACAGCCGTTAAACGGTAGCCTACTAAAATGCCGTTAATAGATATTGTGACGTCGTTCATGTCGGCGGAAAGTAATGCCTAGCTATAAGCACCTGGCAAGAGCACCTATGGCTCCGTGGCTGAGGCTATCGCTTCGTGAGCGAATGGTCCGTGGCTCGAATCTCACGCCGACCAAGACTTTTTTATATTTTTTTTTTGCTTATATTGGATTGGTTTAGTTATTTGGCGGGTTGGTTACCGTGGTTATTTGGAAGGTGTTAATTCATTGGTTAGTTGGTTATTTGGTGGGGTTGGTTGGTTTTTACTAATTTATATTTTTTTATCAGTGTCGAGGTTAGTTGCGTTGGTTAAGTTGGTTATTTGGTGGGGTGGATAGCGTTGGTTAGTCCTTATAAAATTCCTATATGTATTTCATAAAGCCGTCAAGTGCGTCACATCAACGACGTCATACACATTAACGGCATTTTAGTAAGCTACCGTTTAACGGCAGTTAAAATGATTAATATTCGTATTTCTTTATGTAAAAAAACTGGTAGGTTAAGTTTATGTAAACAAATAATTTTAGTCGTTTTTATATATGGAGATAAAACTAGTTTTATACGGCAATTATTACCAGAAGGCTCAGATTAAAAAATAATTTTTATTAATATTTGTGGCTCAAGTTTCGTTTACTTGAAATCAGTTATGTAAGAAATATTGTTTATTTAGTATTTTGAAGCCTTTTTGAAAAGTATGTCCTAAAAATTTTCTGCGGAAATGCATACTTTTCAAGTTGTTCAACTTTAGAATAGTTGAAATCAGGACTACTTTCGTTTACTTAAAATCAGTTATATAAGAAATATTTGTGTATTTAGTATTTGGAAGCCTTTATGAATAGTATGTCATAAACATTTTTCTGCGGAAATGCATCATTTTCAGTTTTTCAACTTTAGAATTGCTGAAATCAGGGCTACTGTAATTTAGCTGAAATCAGTTATTTAAGAAATATTTGTTTGTTTAGAAATTGGAAGCCTTTCCAAATTCCAAGCCACGAAAATTTTTCTGCGGAAATGCATAATTTTCAGTTTTTCAACTTTAGAATAGCTGAAACCAGTTACATGAAAACACGTTTCTGTTTTTCATTCTTCAAAACTTCTTGCGGAAGCGTACTAACCCTAACCTAACCATTTTCATTTATTGATAAAATATTGTAAAATAAGATTTGAAAAGTACTGGGTAATTGGAATTCGTAAACAAACGCGTTTTAGCTTACAGCGTGTTTTGATTGCTTTGGTTTGGTTTACTGATTTATTTTCGTTTTTTTTTTTCTAAATTACAGTATCTACTAGGTTAAGTTCATATAATACCTACACAAGTAAAGTGTTTAGAATGTAAAGCAGGAACACGTTTTCATGTAACTGATTTCAGTTATTCTAAAGTCGGAAAAAAAAGAGAATGATGCATTTCCGCAGAGGAATTTTTTTTATTTTTGTGTTTAGGGAATCTTCGATATACTGAATTTTTTGTTGTTTTTTTTATAAGTGATTTCAAGTAAAACGAAACTTCATCCATATTTGAGAATTTTGTGACAAAGGAATGAGAATTAAAATTAAATTTCTGTAGGATTGAGAATGGCTTTAACCCTTAGAACTCTGCAACTGTCAGCAAACCTATGGTATAGAAAGAAATTGGAGAAAGAATTATATCAAACTCTCAGTTAATCTGTTATATTATTTTGTTATATGTTGAAATTAAGAGAGGAAAAATATATGATAAAACTGTACTGTTGTTTTTATTCTCTTAAAAAATATTTAATTATAAAGTGTAGTATAAATAAATACTCATTTTAAATAAATTCAATTAGAAACACAAGTAAACATTCATCAGAACACTTACACTAAAATGACATTAGAAAGGTATAAATATTCGTAGGTTTTATGCAGCTTTTTTATTAGGATTATCCACATTTTGTTCAGGATCGGTTTCTTCAATCTTTCTCTTCCTTTTTACTAAATGTGAAATATCGCTAACTTGTTTTGAACTACCGGCACCATCAGTAGTTTGTTTTGAAGGTTCTTTGAACGCTTCGCTTATTTTTTTAATGGCCTACAACAAAGGATAAAATGAATAAAAAATGGTAGAAGACAATACAAAGTAATAAAAATAAAATATAGTTTGTCAAACGAGAAGATAAATAACAGTGACAGTTGTGTCTGTCATTTTAATTCAAAGGCAAATTGTATTTTCTGTCACTCTTTGGATATCATCTGTCGAAAACTTCCCCGACTCGTTCGACCTACTATATATTGTGACAACAGGCTAATTTTAAAATTTGTCATAATATATTGTGTGTGAGGGATGTTGTGTACATATTTAATTCTTTAATTATAGAACTCATAATACAAACAAATCACTGAATGAATGACACACTGCTTCAAAAATATTCTTCAATGAAAATAATATTAAGCAAAATAAAAAACAAAATCTTTAGTAAAATTTTATTTTATAAAAAATGTATAAATAGCAAAAATAAATACATAAATACTTGTAAGAAACTAAGCAAGAAGCAAATTTTGTTTTCACATAAAAGCAGAGTGTGTATATTTAAGGCTGTTCATTTAATTTCAATTTTGAAACAGTATTTTCAATAGAACCAGACTTGCGCCTAACTTCTATTTTATTCACTGGTCCTTCTACTGGCTTTAAAATAGGCTTAACAATACTTTTCACGATTTCTCTACACACACATACCTCTTCTTTATATACATTCATATCGGCAATTTTGTCCTCGATGTCCGGAATAAGACTTTTAATCTCGTCCACTTCATCTTTATGTTCCTGAGTCATAAGCTTAATCTGAAAATGAACAAACACCAATTAGAAAGACAGGATAGTATTAACACAATTATTTACTCATACCTCTTCTAATGTTTTGATCCTATTCCTCAAATATTCTAAAGAATTATTAAAATTTTCTATGGCTTGATCTATCTGTGAATCAGTTGAATAAGCCATGCCTAATTTGTAAAAAGATTCAGCGACAGTTCGACTATCCTTCGGAAACAGTTCCTTTTGAATTTCTAAACCTTTTTTAACATCGTTGATGGCTGATTCGAAGTTTTCACTTTCTAATGACACCTCGCCCAGTACTATTAACGTGTCTGCTAGGCTTTTCTTATCTTCTACGGATAAAATGCAATTGATTATCAGTTTATTTTGACGAAATGTATACTATAAATACCTTTATTTTCAAATATTTTCTTTGCCAGTTCTAAAACTTCCCATGCAACTTGCAAATCGCTTGGTTCTTCTTCACCGTTTTGTTCTTCGGTAGTTTCCTCATCGTTCGCAGAAGATGGTCCAGGTTTTCCATTTTCGCTGGAACTGGATGCTTCAGCTGTTATACCATTCTCACCATTCTGCTCCTTTACATCAGGAGCATCACCGCTTTCAGCGGGCGTATCATTAGTAGTTTCAGTCTTTTCTTCAGATTCTTTAACATCTAGGATATAAATATTATTAGTTTTAAAAGGAAGGATTTAAATAATCAGGTTCAGATACCTTCATCATCTTCGTCGTCGTCGTCTTCAGAATCATCCGCGGAATTTTTAGGTACAGCATCTCCTAAGGCTTCATTTTGGTCTCTGGCTAACCCTAACAATGCTTTTCCATAGTAAAGGTATACCTCACCTAGGGATTCGTGCAGGTCGTTTTTGTGTTCAGCTACTAGAAGCTCTGATGCTTTGCCTAGAGCTGATACAGCTGCTTCATAGTCCTGGATTATGCACGCCCTTACGCCTTTAAAAAAATATATATATTCAAAATATGGATAACTACATAAAAAATGATACGATATCATTTAATGATAGGTAGTAATAAAATATTAATACCAAATTACCTTGGCCAAATAGTTCTTTTGGATCATTGCAATCTGGATCAACCACTACGTCAGCCATCTAAATGGAAAAAGTAAGGTTATAATTATTAGAGCCAAAAGTTACAATTTATAATATATACAAGATAACAAAATTATACGATTTGTAAATCCTACTCGCTAAATATGAATTTAAGAATATTTAAAAAGTAGTAAGGTTATTGTTAACTTTATTAACTAATTAGTGAATTAATACCTTGTTATTATTGATTTATTCTTCCAAAATATGCATGTAATTAAAAAGATGTCTCACGTATAGTATTGTATAGGTATGCACTGATTGTATAGGTAGGAACTGGTCTTAACTTAGAGATAAAAATCTTAAAAATATGTTGTTTTTTGGTTTTTATTGGTCCAGTAAAAAATTAAACTCCTGTACAAAAGAAATGAAATATTCTGTACATTTTTTACGTACCACTTTTGATTTATCATGATGTCTCTTAATAAACTAGATGAAAAATATTTATATTATAATATGTAGGTAATTATCAAAAAAAAATAATTAATAGATAATTATTAATAACGTACTGGTGCTACGACGATATGTTTAAAATTATTTTAATTCAAATCAGGTATTATTGAAGTGGCTAGAACTACTGAAGTGCGCCTGTATCTTTAACAATCTTGAATAAAAAATGTTCAAACTTAAAAATGTATAGAGAAAAAAATTAACGAGGCGTAAAAACTACTTAATTCATTTTTGGCTATTCCCTCTAGATATTTGATATATTTTAATTGGACTGAAATATAGAAAAAAGGAACCACCCGCCAAATCTTAAATTTTTATTATACAGGGTGGCGCACCTCATTCGCGAAAACGAAAAGATGTAGAAATAAAATATTTTATGGGTATATGTGGGGAGGCAATGTGCACAATTTAAAATTATTTTGAAATGTACAGGGTGTTTCAGAACTAAGATTCATACCAAAGTTATATTTTTTCTTATGGAACACCCGGTATTTTATTTCATTTTTGGATTCTACGGCCCAAAAAAAGGCATTTATTACAAGGGTTCCATATGTTTAAAATCTTTGGTTTTTGAGATATTTAAACAAATTTAAATTTGCATGCTACAATAGAATAGATTACTAACACCCTGTAAATTACTTTACAGAATTAATATTTGTGCTGAGTTTAAAGGTAAAGAAATAAACTTTATTGAAAAATGGTATTGCCTCCTTAAATTTATACAGGGGTATCAAAAATTGCTGATTTATTTTATATAAAAACTTCATTATTTCAAATGCAACACCCTGTATTTTTTAAAATAAACCGAAGCAGATTCAAATGCTCTTTCAAACTATATTAGGGTTTTCTATACCTATCTAGCTCAGATTTTGAATAAAAAAGGATTTTTAAATAAAATTGCAATCAAGATGGCTGGTGTCTCCATGGCAATTTTCTACTGACACTTAGTAACTACTTTCAAAGTCGACATTAGTTTATGGACGATATTATTTAAAATCTATAACAGTTTACTTAGATTTATCTACAATAGTTTAATAAGTAAGTATTCAATATTTTACCAAGAAAAATAAAGCAGTATCTGCTGGCGGAACGAATGGATATGTTACTAGTGATTTTATTTTGTGAGGAAAATTGCTTCTTGGCCACAAGGGCTTATATGCTCAAAGATATCCAAATAGGAATCTTTCTTATAAGCGTTCCTTTGAAAAACGACTTGACATTTTCATCACTTTCAACAGCAGAAACTTGCCGTTGAAAGTGATGAAAATGAATTTGCCGCAATTGGTTCTTTGATAGTAAATCCATATTTACATCCTATAAGTGATCGTAAAATAAATCAAAGAACTACTTCTTCGTTTTTCTTGATAGAATAATAAATACAAATTTAGTAAATATTAATTATTAAACTATTGTTAGAAAATGAATTTGCCGCAATTGGTTCTTTGATAGTAAATCCATATTTACATCCTATAAGTGATCGTAAAATAAATCAAAGAACTACTTCTTCGTTTTTCTTGATAGAATAATAAATACAAATTTAGTAAATATTAATTATTAAACTATTGTAGGGGTAAATTAAATAAAAAGTAAACTGCTATAAATTTAAATTTAAATAAGTCCATAAACTAATTTTGATTTTGAAAATGGCTACTAACTGTTACTAGAAACTTGCCATGATGACACTAGTCCCCTTGGTTGCCATTTTATTGAAAAATTGGTCTTTAGTCAAAATCTGAGCTAGATAGGTATAGGAAACCCTAATATAGTTTGAAAGAACATTTGAATCTGCTTCGGTTTATTTTAAAAAATACAGGGTATTGCATATAACATAACGAAGTTTTTATATAAAATAAATCGGCAATTTTTGATACACCTGTATAAATTTAAGGAAGCAATAGCATTTTTCAATAAAGTTTAGTTTTTTACCTTTAAACTCAGCACAAATATTAATTCTGAAAAGTAATGTAGAGGGTGTTAATAATCTATTCTATTGTAGCATGCAAATTTAAATTTCTTTAAATATCTCAAAAACCAAAGATTTTAAACATATGTAACCCTTATAATAAATGCCTTTTTTTGGACCCAGGAATCCAAAAATGAGATAAAATACCGGGTGTTCCTTAAGAAGAAATATAACTTTGATATGTATCCTAGTTGTGAAACACCCTGTATATTTAAAATAATTTTAAATTGTGCCACATTGCCTCCCCACATATACCCATAAAATATTTTGTTTCTACAGCTTTCCGTTTTCGTATAATCAACCGAGGCGAATGAGGTGCGCCACCCTGTATACCTACAGGGCGAGTTTTAAATAACTGCAAATATTTTTAGAGATAGTAATTTCGACTCCAGAAACACGATTATGTCTAGGCGATTATGGCGTTTTAAGCGATTTTTTTTCGGAAATGTTTTGAGTTTTTATTTAAAAAACATAATTTCTTGATAATATGGCAACATAGATGTTAAATTTACAAGAAAGAAAACCCAGAAAAGGAGATCCAGTGGTTCTGAAAATTTAGGCTAAAAAACATTTTTTTTTATTTTCAAAATAAAATAAGTCGGTTATTTTGGACTTATTTGAAAAACGGTAAAGAGAAAATATATTTATTTTATCGAGATCTACCAGCCCTGAAAATATTTGCACTTATTTAAGAGTTAAATTTAAGAAACTTAAGATCTACAACCGAAAAGACCTAATATAAACAAACTAATAATAAAATAAATAAAAATACTTAAAAATACTTATTGGCTCTTCACTTGGACACAAATTTTCCTAAGCAGTAAAAAGCCCTATTCTTAAGTCTCTCTAACGTACCGATGAAACATGGATGAAACTGACATTTACCTCCGTTAGTTTCAAAACCTAATACTTTGACATGAGGCAGATATATCTTTTTTTTTTGTTTTAAATGAAATAGCCGATTTTTTTGAAGTCGAAAAGCCCCATCCTTACGTGTTATTTTGACGAGGTTTCGTGCACTATGAAACTCCATCATCAATTGCTGCCCTCCATTCACGCAGTTATGCAGCTCTGAAGAACGTGATACTCTCACTCCATTCAATTGAGTCATAAAGTTCAGAACTGTTCCGCGCCATATGAAGGCACCAGGCTATTGCGCACAGCTCCTTTCAGAACCGTTCTCGAGTAGCCCAGGGCGTAAAGCACTGGAACTTGAAGTTCGCGAATGGAGAACAGCAAATGAATCAAATCAAAAAATCGTCCGATTTAAATGAAATTTGGTATGTCAATAGATCAAGGCCAACTTAACAGTGTACGACACGTGTCAAAGTAACAGTTTTGAAGTAAGAAACGTCAAAAGTTGATGTCGTCCGATCGCAACCAAGTTTGGTGGGTAGCCTATGTGAGCGACGGTGCACGCGCTCCCACCCTGTAAAATTGGGCACGACGTTTCATTTACATCTTCATCAGGGTGGGACTAAGGATTTGATATTGAAGAAAAATGTGGATCGATTTCGGCATAATTGAGAACGGACTACAGGATGGCGCCCTCGACGTTTCGAACCGATGCACGATGCCTCTAAATGGACGACATCAAGGTTTTTCTTAATTATGGGTAGATTGGGGCCAAACTCGGCACGTGGATAGAGGTACCCAAATTGAGTCTTCAGACGGACAGAGGGACAGACAGACAGACGGAAGTAAGAAGTTTCACTTCAAATATGCGCACATAGTGTACTACACAGTTTTTTTTTTTCAGTACCGATCTTTCCAGAATTTTGCATCAGTAATGAACCCGTTTTTTAGTAAGTACCTATATGTATAATTGAGTAAGTGTAATTAGTTAGGGTAGACCCGGGAAGTGAAAGGTTCAAGAGGAAAGTAAAGCAAGGGGCATGTTTAAGAGTCCGTTTCAGTAGTCCGAAAAAGAAGCAAAATAAGCGTTTAGCATTTAACGTTTTATGTAAAACTGGCTAGGTATTTTTACACAAATGAAGGAGGAAATTAAAGATAAAGGATTATACCATATCCGTATTGTAGCAAATTTTTAGACAACTTTTTTACTTTTAAGATTTTGATGGTCAAACATCAACAAAATATTCCTGTTTGAACTAAATTTTCTAGAAAATAAAGACATAATTTAAAATTCCGTTACAATACGGAAATAGATTGAAGTTTTCTGATTATACAGTGATATATAATTTATATGTTTTTGTAACAAATTGCTTGCTATTTTATGGTAACTGCTGAAGTTCTGCAAACCATAATCAAGCCTAATCAAAGGAGTATGTTTGGAATTTTTGGTGTGGCTTAACACGACAGGATCGGGCTAAGCCCAGGGTTCGGAAAATTACATATTACTTTTATAAACTACATAAACTACATTACATGTAGTTAATGTAGTTTATGTAGAGGGTGTAGTTTATGTAACCTATGTATGTAACTTTCAAATATCAAAGGTTTGACGTGAGGTTATAATAAGTTGAAGCTTTAAGAACACATAATGTATTTAAGAAAACAGAAGAAATATGGCTTTAAATATAATATTTACATCATATTATCTCTATTACACCTCATACAAATGAAAATTAATCATAATATCAATACATAGTTTATTAACGTGGTTTTTATGTAGTTAATGAACGGGAAAAGACGTAGTTTTTGAAGAAAAACTACACGTAGTTAATCAGGTAAATTACGTCTTAATTAACTACTTCCGAACCCTGGCTATGCCACACCAAGGCAGATTTCTGAAATATAATATATACTTCCTTAGGCCACATACCCGTTTTACCCGACCCCTGTGTACGACCCGAAAGTACAGCGTAATAGACTCTTAAGAAATTATTTATGCTGTTTTTAAATGTAGACAGGATCATTTCTAACCATGACAATGTTTTATAAAGGAGTAACGCGGAACGAATTCCCATCTAGATATGGCAACGGTGCATTTTCGTAGACGCAACGCGACGTTAGCTGTTCGAATTTTCCATTTTCCAGTAAGGAAAAGCCGTTCGTAAGGGACGTTTCGTCGGGAAACGGTAACCAGATGACGTGATTCGAAGGAAAAAAGACCCAATCAACAAATCCATAACGCACAGATTGGCAAAAACAACGTGTAGATTTTACGAGGAAAATGGCATAAAATCGCAGTATGTTTATCGTTTGGAAAATGGTGTGATATATCGTTGAAAAATCGTTTGAGTGGAGACAAACAAACCTAATTTGATTAAATTCTTCTACTGGTAAGACGAAAATAGACTTTTATTTAAATCTAATGTCATCACATTATAATTTCTGCTATATTTTCACCCATAAAATTATATATGATAAATAATATCGTGTTCCAAACCAACCAAAATATTATTAAAGAAAATTTAAAAAATACTTAAAAACAATAATAAAAATAGATATTTAAATAAATAAATAAAGCCTTTATTAATACACCAAAATACATAAGAAAAAATAATATTTAAATAGGGAGAGAAATAAAAATAATCCACGGAAAATAATATTAAAGAGTGTTAATTGATATACACTCCTCAAAAATAGGGAATGTATAGAGCATAAACAAAACACAACAGTATAGAAACATAAATTCCCCATTTATATTGATAAAAAATCATAATTTGATATAAATAATTATATTAATTAATAGTTATGTTATTAAGCGCCACCGAAAGTAATGCTAAACTAAATAGCAAAAATTAAAAAGAAAGATTCAACATTAATAAAGAACATTACATTAACATATACTATGAACCATGAGTCCCATTTTTTAACAATATCATTTGTTTACTGGAATACAAATAATCAAATGGTGTAATAACATTGAAAAATCGTTTTATTGATTGATTAAATTGATGTTGATTAAATTAGTCTACTGGTAAGAGAGAATTATTGTAGCGTTTTAAAAATATATTTTACATAAAATGTCATCTAAAAAAAATGTAACATTAAATTTGAATACAGGCGCACATTTCAGTTGATTTTAAAAATTTCGACAGCAGCGCTCGATACGGCAGAAATCAGAAGTTTTCGGCTCTGTATTTCACGCAGTTCCGATGTTGATCATATTAAAATCCTGTCTTTGTCCTATATTTAAGTATATTAGTTTTAACTAGTGTAAATGAAACTGTAAAATTCATAGGTACGAAGTTTGTGTGATGTAACGCTGTTTCGGGTAATAAAAACCAAGTGAAAATGAACCCAAACTGGGCAACACGAAAAGGATAGCATATAGTTGCGTGGTGGTGGGGTGCAATCACACTCAATACAACTCTCGCGGAACATTTTACAACTTCTCGTCTTTATCCCACCGATTCGATCAAAAGCAAAAGCGGATTCTGGCAGTTCGACGAAACAACTGAGCAAACAAAGTGCGTATTACATATGAAAAAATTAAATAGGCATATATTATGAGAATAAAATATAATTTAATCAATATTAATAGTAATCTGTAATCGACTAGGTAGTGTTTAAATGTTTTATGGGTGTATTCTAAAATTATATTTATGTCCCAAATAGCAAAACCGGTGCATAAAACTATGATCGCTATCGTAGTTAAAGCAGCCGGCGTGTTATTACTAATCTAAAAAGTTTTATTAGCTTGAGTAATAAATTATAATACACGTTAGACCTTCTAAAAAGATTTTTATTTTTATTTTTTTTTTAATTTTCAAAAATTGCACTTACTAATAATTTTTAACTAATGTTATAACACATTTTTCGTCTACTTGCTATTTAAACCCGTGTATTTGTATATGCCGGTTGTTTACAATATTGATGGCAGCACCGGCGGAGAATGCAGAAACCGATAATTGCTGCCTTTCTTGTTGGTAAAATTAAGTATTACAGAAATAATTTATCCTCTATTAAAAATCACACAAAGTATTATTAAAAGAAACTTATGAAAATAATTATAAATCAATCACAACAAAAAAAGATATACACTACAAAAAGATATAATCTCTCACTCATTTTTCATCAATAAAAATGCATAATTTGATTGTAAAAATATGATATTGGCAACCACCAAAAGTACCGTATATGGTTGAATAAAAGACGCCTTAGAAATAACGATCGACGATACATATCACATGTAAAATTATATGTTAGATATCATCAATCGTCATTACCAAGCCAGCTCTGACGCGGTTTTCTTATTCGATCGTATGGTATTAGATATTAAAGCAATCATAAAGCTTTAATAATAAAGAATATTAAATTAATATAAATATGCTACAATGATATTATTACTTAGAAAATCATCAAAATCGATCAGCTAGAACACAATATATGGGTGGGCAAAATTGAACAAGTCGTTCATTTGAACGAGTATTAAAAATGAATCGTGAGAGTAGATTCATTGGTTAAAAGAATCGTTAAAATTGAATCGAATCAAAATGCGATCGTGCGTTCAAAGAGTCGTGAGAATTGATTCATTGCTTACAATACGGTTGGTTCAACTGAATCGTGGCCAGCACGGATCCATAAGATTTGAACGATGAGCCGTAAAAAAGAATCGTGAGAATTGAATCGGATCACAATGAATCGCGGCCAGCACGGATCCATAACATCTGAACGATGAGCCGTAAAAAGAATCGTGAAAAGAATCGTGAATTGAATCGGATCACAATGCGATCGTGCGTTCAAAGAGTCGTGAGAACTGATTCATTGCTTACAATACGGTTCGTTCAATCGAATCGTGGCCAGCACGGATTCATAACAATTGAACGATGAGCCGTAAAAAAAGAATCATTAGAATTGAATTGGATCACAATGCGATCGTGCGTTCAAAGAGTCGTGAGAATTGATTCATTGCTTACAATACGGTTCGTTCAACTGAATCGTGACCAGCACGGATCGATAAGATTTGAACGATGAGCCGTAAAAAAGAATCGTGAGAATTGAGTCGGATCACAATGATCCATAACATCTGAATGATGAGCCGTAAAAAGAATCGTTAGAATTGAATCGGATCACAATGCGATCGTGCGTTCAAAGAGTCGTGAGAATTGATTCATTGCTTACAATACGGTTCGTTCAACTGAATCGTGACCAGCACGGATCGATAAGATTTGAACGATGAGCCGTAAAAAAGAATCGTTAGAATTGAGTCGGATCACAATGCGATCGTGCGTTCAAAGAGTCGTGAGAACTGATTCATTGCTTACAATACGGTTCGTTCAATCGAATCGTGGCCAGCACGGATTCATATAACAATTGAACGATGGGCCGTAAAAAATCATTAAAATTGAATCGGATCACAATGCAATCGTGCGTTCAAAGAGTCGTGAGAATTGATTCATTGCTTACAATACGGTTCGTTCAACTGAATCGTGGCCAGCACGGATCCATAGCAATTGAACGATGAGCCGTAAAAAAGAATCGTGAGAATTGAATCGGATCACAATGAATTGTGGCCAGCACGGATCCATAACATCTGAACGATGAGCCGTAAAAAGAATCGTTAGAATTGAATCGGATCAGAATGCGATCGTGCGTTCAAACAGTCGTGAGAATTGATTCATTGCTTACAATACGGTTCGTTCAATCGAATCGTGGCCAGCACGGATTCATAACAACTGAACGATGAGCCGTAAAAAGAATCGTTAGAATTGAATCGGATCACAATGCAATCGTGCGTTCAAAGAGTCGTGAGAATTGATTCATTGCTTACAATACGGTTCGTTCAATCGAATGGTGGCCAGCACGGATTCATAACAATTGAACGATGAGCCGTAAAAAAGAATCGTTAGAATTGAATCGGATCACAATGCGATCGTGCGTTCAAAGAGTCGTGAGAATTGATTCATTGCTTACAATACGGTTCGTTCAATCGAATCGTGGCCAGCACGGATTCATAACAATTGAACGATGAGCCGTAAAAAAGAATCATTAGAATTGAATTGGATCACAATGCGATCGTGCGTTCAAAGAGTCGTGAGAATTGATTCATTGCTTACAATACGGTTCGTTCAACTGAATCGTGACCAGCACGGATCGATAAGATTTGAACGATGAGCCGTAAAAAAGAATCGTGAGAATTGAGTCGGATCACAATGAATCGTGGCCAGCACGGATCCATAACATCTGAACGATGAGCCGTAAAAAGAATCGTTAGAATTGAATCGGATCACAATGCGATCGTGCGTTCAAAGAGTCGTGAGAATTGATTCATTGCTTACAATACGGTTTGTTCAATCGAATGGTGGCCAGCACGGATTCATAACAATTGAACGATGAGCCGTAAAAAAGAATTGTTAGAATTGAATCGGATCACAATGCGATCGTGCGTTCAGAGTCGTGAGAATTGATTCATTGCTTACAATACGGTTCGTTCAACTGAATCGTGGCCAGCACGGATCCATAGCAATTGAACGATGAGCCGTAAAAAAGAATCGTGAGAATTGAATCGGATCACAATGAATTGTGGCCAGCACGGATCCATAAGATTTGAACGATGAGTCGTAAAAAAGAATCGTGAGAATTGAATCGGATTACAATGCGATCGTTCGTTTCTACGGCGTGACAGGGTGTTTTAAAGTTAGGGTAAAAAAACAACCCCTCGATTAACCCTGTATAATATGCCAAATACTAAAGTTTATAAAAAACTGAGTTTACGAATTAAAGTTGATATAATTATCTATAGCTTGCTAAAAAATTCATAAAAATTGGCCTAAAAATAACAAAAATATTACACTTTAAATTTGACCAAAAATTTCTCCGTAGCGTTTTTTTTGCATCTGAGTGTATTATTGGTAAAATAATCAATCCAGTTACGCCAGTGTCATAAAGTGTTGAAAAACAAATGAAAGAACTGTATATTTCTTTTTCTGGTGCCTTAAGTAATTGTCCTACCAAATTATCGCCGGTAGTGCCAGTTACGATCTTGTTTTTATGAAGCGTAAATTGTGCATGTGGTTCGTTCAAATGAACGAATCGTAGGAGTCGATTCAATATGATAAATTGAATCGTGTGATCGATTCACTAAAAAGAATCGTAATGCCCATCACTACAATATATAAAACTTTAAAATGCATGAAAATTTCAAGGTGCCCGTTTTTCGTGCCGGTGAGTGTAGTTGTGATATAATTAAGTAGATTATTATGATTATTGTAGTTTTAATCGTAAAATAAATTAGTTTAGGTATTTTTATCGTATTATTAAATTAAGGACCTACGGAATCCGGAACAATATATTGTACTAGATCGCTAGCGACATCTTTTTTAACACAAAGGTA